ATATATATATATATATATATAATTCGTTGTAAATCGAAATTGGATGGTAATGCACTAAGAACTTTAACTTATGTTTGTCAAACATATACTTTCCAGAGATTGCAGTTTTTTTGTGCAAATATGAACGACTAAATAATTCAACAAAAGCAAAACATATAGTGTAATCTACAAAATCAACGTACTCCCGACTTCTTAAGGGCTATCTTTTTAGAAGTAATGCTGGATTTATAGTGAACAGTTTGCTCATTTGGTACATCATTTAATGACAGCGCTTCAATATTTGGCCCTGAAAATTCACCTACTCTATCACTGAGCTTTACAATAATGAATTCAATAAGTGAAGAACGCAATAATTTCTACAATAAAAACTTTTATATCACATTAGAGAAAAATGAAAACAAGTAAAATACTACTTTACAATCCTAATCAATCACTGAAAATAAACAGATTGGCTAATCAAAGAGGAAACTATTACACAATGTGCGAAGTGTAATCAAATTTACATGAGTTCCAGAACTCGACTTATTTTATGCTCCCTCTAATGAAAAGTAACATGAAAGTCAATAATGAACTTGCCTGGCACTGTTTCACCGTTATTATTAATGAATGCATCTTGACTAATTGAGGATGACGAATTGCTTTGATGAGCAACAAAATCTTGAGAAAAAAAGTCGACCTCTTTATTCTTGTCTCCAAATCCTTCATCTGTTAGCGAATCATTATTACTTTCTATCATTAATGAGCTGCCATATTGTTGATGAGCTCTTGCAGCTAAAGACGCCAATTTATCCTAGAAAAACTAATATTCTTAGCTAACAGTAACATCTTATTAATTTAAAAATTAGATGCAAATCTCAAATTTCAAATAAAGAATTAATTAAAAGAAAGATATTTCATGCCTTATATAAAACTGAAGCTCTGCTTTTATACTTTTGTTGGGCATCACTTGTTGTACATCCATGCTGCTTGAAGAAAGTATTCTGAAAATTCAACAAATATGAAGTACATGATAAAAAACTTGAAGAAACAATGTCCAAAGCAATAATTTTGCAAATAACAAAAATGACAAAATGAAGTCCCATAATTCCAGTAAAAGCAAAATATCACTTTTTTTCTGAATCTTCTGGCTATTACTTCGAAAACTGTTATGCATTGAAATCTACAAATAATGTTAATCTCCTCACTCTTTCAGGACCAAAACAAAGATGATATCTTTCCTCAATCTACCTTAATTATTCAATTCAAAAAATGAAACTAACTACACTGCGACTTTATTATTTGATTACGAATATATTGTGAAAAAGAATAATTGCAAGGCTGAAGTTCGATTATTTTTATATTTCGCCAGCATCCTGAACTAAAATTAAAACTCTATAACAAATTACTCCCTAAATTTGTAGACAGATGAAAAAAAACCGCCACAATGAACATTATGATGCTAAAATTTAGTTTCTTAGAAATCAAATTATTTCATTTGTAATCAGATTTTCATGAAGAAGAACACGTGGAGAGAATGATAGTTTGCTGTCTTAACTTCTGATAAAAAGCATTTTTTGCGCTAATAAGATCAATGAATTACACCAAACAGAATAGATAGAACAATGACAATGAGGTTGAAGAACACCAAATAATAATCAAGTGACAGTATACACTTTGATAGATGAATAGAATAACTGGAATCACTATGCTTCATCTTTTGCTTCCTATGCAGTTAAAGAAGTTCAGCCTTAATTTCCTAAATTACTGTGACTCGATATCCTTGACTAAGTTTCAGATTATTAATTCTAAAAAGTACTTTTATTTCTTCCCATAACAACAGCAAACAATCATTATTTTCAAGAAGCAACATAATTTTTCGTTTTACCTCTCACAACGATTTTTTTAAGCAAAGAACAAAATCTGAAATAAATGCAGAAAAGTCGTCTCGCCAAAGTCGAGAGATGCCTTAACAGCAGAGAAAGGATGTTCTAAAAAAGTAATACTGGCATAACATGTCGTGATAACGCTAGTAATCTTTTTATGATTCTAGAAACAATTTTTTTGTAAAAAAACAACAAAACGATGCATTTCGGAGTTTAGAAACTTTCATTCCCTTAGTTCGTAAAATGTTTTTTAAACAAACCGCATTCGCATTTCCACCAACTTGCATTGCACGCAACTGCAGCCACGACCAATTAGTATCCAACGTAACTGATCGAACGAAGCTGATGTGAACTCCCAAATTACGGTGTACAGATGAGCAATCGATACATATATAAATCCCGTACGTAACAGATGCCCATGAAGGGTTACGAGCACCACAATCAAAACATTCCTATGCTTGTTATAGTAAACAACTTCCAATCGAGAACTACAGACCTAATTAAACAAAATGAAGTATTAATACACTTCTTAAAAACATACTTTATTGCTTGGCATAGCACGAAGTTTTTTGAAGATGGTCTGGATATCAGCTTTTGAAGGGGCTTCTTCGGTGGTACCCATTACGTTGTTTAATAAAGAATGAAGAAAGACCAGTTAATAACTGAAAGAATTTCGCTGTCTAATGACTAAGCAGTAGTTCACTCGAAATGTAGAATCCAGAGAAAGAGTACATCATGCGTAAAAGGATGAAATCTCGTAATCTTTTTAAAAAAATGGAGGTATTGCAGACAGATCGTAGCCAATTACTGATAACAAGATGAATCTAATCATGCCTACCAAATGAACTGAAGGTAAAAATGGCGTCTAAATGATGACAACGATAAACCACGTAGACGAATATTAAAAAATGAACACGTGGCAAATAACTGCTTAAACAACGGTAAAAATCCTAACAAGTACAGATACTATGGATAAAGATGTCATATTGCTCATGGACGTCATCCATTCATTACGTTAACCAGACATGACATAATACTTTCTGAAACAACTGCTCCAAACTAAGACCAGAATTATTGTATACATCTTATTTTCCGTAACAAAATTCAATGATACGTAACGAAATTCGAACATTGTGCAAAACGACCATCTCATTGGCATATAGCTACGTATGCGGATAATGAAGAATAATAGTCGCAGTAGTGCAACGAGTATTGAACACTCAGCTAATTACTCTTAAACGCTACTTATATGTTTGATATATTTGTGGCTCGTGGAGACAGTTTTTAGTGATATAAGTAAATCAGCATCATAGCTTTTAATTAACCAAACATAACATAATATTTTTTTTTGTTCTGCATGTTTTCGTTTTTGTCATTTACCGAATTATAATGGAATCATTTGCAAATAATGATAACTACGATTAATATGGATTATAGGCATTACATTTATTTCCAGTAACTTTCTCTAAAGAGGATTAATCACAAAAGCAAGTGATGTTGAGCTTTTTGTTTTTGAAAGGAGAATCCCGAAGGAGAAACATGAAAATATGATAGCGAAGCAGTTCTACACTTTTTCAAATCATATTTTTCGGTAGTTTATTGTGATTCTACAAAATTTGTCGACCCAACCATTGCACCTGCAAAACAAGCATTAAAGATAATAAAACTGTTCGTAAATTGATTTTCAATGTTAGGTATTGTGTGGTATATCTTTCAAAAATTACTTAAAACTAATAACACTGCTACAGTACATATTGCAAATAACTCGGTCAGTGCAGTTTTGCTTTTTGAAATAATTTACTATATTCTATTATTAGTACAGCATTATAAAAAACGAGTTTTCTTCCATGAATATTTATAACAGTCTAGATATGAAGTAAAAGGATTAACATTACTTGCAGTAAAAAAAATTTTGGCGGAACTGAATGTGTATGAAAGTAATTGGATTTCCTGTAATAGAAGTACTTTACTCGAAATAGATGAGGACAAAATAAAAGATATTAGGTTTTTAAAATCACGAACAGTGAAAGAAATTTAATTTGAGCTTGACACTGAAGCAGCTCGAAATGTAGAAACCCACATATTTGTCACAGCTGGGCGGTAATATACTAAAGAAGAAATTTGTAATTGAATAAAGTATCGAAAAGATTTTATCCTTAATTCCATTTAAGATAAAAGTTATAATTAACCTTCTGGTAATGATCAAGCTTTGCTATACGAATTGCTGTAGAGGGATCCGAACTACTTTTGCTAGACATACTTTTGGTAACCGTAGAAGTGTTGACGATTGCTTCTGTACAACCGCAAGTTACTGACTGAAACCAGTTGAGAGCCGAGAAACTGGCTTCTTGTTTTAACAAAATTAAAATGAATGCTACACCTGAAAATTGTTTCCTGCACTACCAAAATATTATCAGATGAAGGAATTTTATTTCATACAGTACGCTTGAGAAACATTTTCCAGAAAATAAATTATCAAATAAATCTATTCTTTTTACGACTAAAAATAAACACAAAGTAGACATTATTAAATTGTAAAATTTGAAACCAAAATGCATTTTCTGATCGGATAAATAACCTTTTACCTTACCAAGAATGAATCCATCATCTGTAAATGTGTTATTCTGTTTTGCTCTTCTACCTAATTTTCCCTTGCATGATAACATCTGATCAATAAAATTGATTGTAAGAGGAGGTACAATCATATAAAAAAAGTTTAAATGCTCATACTTCGTACTATCTCGCAATTCTGGCGCAAATACTTCTACAAGAATCTGAAATTTTTGAAAATTTTATAAAGAATAAATTATAAAATCAGTCATGAAGGAATAATGAGAATTGATCAGACTTCAATTAACACTTTAACCTGCAAATAGTTATCAGACTGATTAATATTTTTCTTTGAAACATCAAAAATTCCATCTAATACTCGAGCAGCATCAATACTTTCGGTAGATAATTTCGCATTCATCACCATTGGTTCAAATGACATGATATCATCTAAATCAGGAAGAAACTCCAGTGATTGTACACTCACTTCAACAGCACCTGATCTGGAAAAATCTTTACTGCTATTTCGAGCTCAAAAATTCATATATTCAGATAAATTTGCACAAGTAATAATGATGACTAAGTGATCTCAGGAATGAGATTACTTCACAAATATTCTGTGGGAAGGGATTAAAATCGAAATTTTTACTAGATCTTAAAATCTGAATGGAAAGCCAAAACTGAGAACAGATTAATATAGTACAAATGACAGAAAAAAACGGATATAATAAATGAGACATAATTTTACACTTCGCATTTGTTCTCAAATTCACAAGCTATTTTAGTGTGAATCAATTCATAATTTTCAACCATAAGTCATAAATTTTTATCCAAGATTTTGAATTATTAACAACTACTCACCTAACTAGTCTTACATATCCCATAGCATTGCCTACTTCGGTTATCAATATTCGTAATTTATCCAGATATGACAGGTCATCTACTGTAACGCCAAGACGTCGGATTGAGGTATTGAACCGTTGTGCCCGACTTACCGGATACTTAAATACTGCGAGTAAATTTTCAAATTTTCATTTTTTGAAATTTAAGTAACTTAGTAACTCAAACACAAAGTCAAGTATTTGTAAACGAATTTTTTGAGCTCTATCAAAATTTTTATATAAAAAATAAGATGTCATGTTTAATGCTCCCTTTATAATAAAAAAAAGATTCCCTCTTTCGAATATCACATTAAAAAATGAAAAGAATTTAAATCACTATAAACTATGATCGGAAAAAATTAATAACATTTCGATAGTTGAATCAATTACAATTTAATTCTGGTATTGATGAGTTCCTCATTTAGTGTATCACGAAAAACTTTTATCAATGCGTACATGAAGACCAACCATATTTTTTAGATTTTCAACGTTATCATGGAAAAAGCGATCATCTTTGATCAACTGATTTTGAACCCGATCATCGTAAAGAAGCTGTGAAAAGAGATAGAACTTCTTTTTAAGGAACTGATAAGCGTGATTGATCTATAAATTATAGTTTTCATACGAATCAGATTTAATATTGATTTACTTTAAAAGTAAATGACTCGAAACATTCTTCTGAAAATCATAAATAATATGTTTCTTAAATCAGTGATTAGATATTATGACTTCCAAATATTTATTTTTGCAACTATTTATTACTTTCCTTGAAAGTTTAAAAAAAAGCTAGTTTGCAGACTTATTTCTTCAAAAATTTTAGTTGAAAGGAGAGATATAGAACTGGGAATAAAAACTGATATTAACATGTTAAAAGACATGTGCCACGGCTCTGATATATCAAGATGAATTAAGCAACATAAGCTTTGGACTGATTATTTCAAACTGTTGAATTAGAATTACATGGATTGAAAATTGAAAATAAAAAACATACTGTAGTGTTCATTATACCCATACCATGACTTCGTATCGAATTAGCAACATGTTCTACAGTTAGTACTGTCAACTGTTTACTCTTACTATCTTTTTCGATGAAAAACTGAAATAAATATATTTAAAAAGTAGAAACTCAATAAAGAGATACAAACATGGACTTCTTTTTACCTGTTTTTAGCTCTTCTTACAACAGTTTAATACAATTACGAAAACCTACAGCACGGATAATAAAGTCATCTGGAAAAAATTTGTCGTTGATAATAAAAAATAATCATAATCTTCATATCAGTCAGTATTTGGTTACATTAGTACAGGCTTTACCAGACTTATAAGTCTCAGGTTTAATCAATTTTTTCACGAAAATAAATATGTTGTCGAATCACTACTCATGAAGTAAGAAAATTACTCATGTAACTAAATAGTCTTTATTTAATATTGAACTGCATGCAAGGAAAATGTGATAGCATCGATTTCTTTTGATGATTGCAAAAGCTACATACTTGCTCGTTCAAATTATAATTGTAGGATTCTACAAACGAATCAATGTTTCGAGCAACATAAAGGACATCTGGGCCTTGATTCAGCTTTTGAAACGGCAGATGACTTTCACATAAAATCAGACCATATTTTTGCTTAGCCAAAAGACTCATTTCCATGTAAGTATGAGAATCATGCAGAGCGACAGATGTCAAATTGTAAAATATGCGTTCCAAGTATCTCTCAACATATTCTAAAAAACTTGGGTTGACTGAAAAATCACAAATATTTTTTTTATGAAACTGCTTGATCCTGCCAGTATAATTAATAGTATTCACACCACCTAATTAATTGAGACATACAATAATTTGAATTTATAAGTTTATGGCTAATCTTCCGTAACACAAGCATCAATAAGTGTTTTAAGAGTGTGAAAATCCGTGATAACCGATTTTCTTGAAAATTTCCAAGTTAATCGGTAAGTCAAACGAGAACATGCTAGTGAAATCAAGAAAAGGTCTTTATCAGAAAATCATGTCTTAATCTCCTTTCAGATAGCTTTTATTTCAAAGATTTCAGCCGAAGTTAAATTTGTAGCAATAATCTTTATATGCTAATCGGAAGTATCAAAACATTCAAATCAGTTCTTTTTGTATATAATGCAAAACAGTGTTAAGTGCATATCCTAATGTTATCGGTAGCAGCAATGATTCTACTTGTTCTTTCGTTATCTTGCTCAGAAAATATACTTACGTTTTACATCAATAAGTCGATCGAATAAATGTAATGTAGGCATTTCAAGTAAGTTTACTAAACGCAAGTCAGTATCTTGCATTGGATCTTTTGGTGTACGATCATCCAGTTGAAGATGTGAATGAACAGTTAAACGCAAATCCGTTTCGATCGCCTCACACAAATTTTTTAAATACAACTAAAACAGACTTTGGAAAATTTTATTCTCTCTGAAATGGTAGAAATGAATAGAGATATATGGATCACACTAAAACACTATGCATTACATGAGAAGTGATGCATGAAATGTAATTTGTAACAATTTTCAGTACTTATGAATTGGAATACCGACATTAAAAGCAGAAAATTTTAAATGAATATCATACCTCCTCAAATATTTTATACAATTCATCTAGTATTGATTTTTTGACTCCTGTATCCATATTTTTTTCGTCCCACTCTAGTACTGTTTCAATATCATTGACGGCATCGAAGAAAAGCTTTTGAAAGAAAAGTAAAATTTTATCACGAGAAGAGAAGAAAACTGCAACTAATAACGGAATATTTCTCAAATGAAAAGAACACTTAAATAGGAGTTGAAAAAGTAAATGGAGTAATGCAGTTAATACACAGTCTGTGTAATTATCACTTCAAAACTTGCAAATATAACGCTATTTTATATACTACGCAAAACTGTGGCAAAGAAAATGAACCTCTGGTCGACAAAAACCATCACTAATAATCGCATCAAAATATGTTGCAATGAACGACCGATGCCAAAACAGAAATGAACAATTGCATATGCGAGAAATGATATTTCCCAGCACTGAGAGAGTTTCTAAACGTGAAAGCAGTTCATCTATTCTTTCTGCATCACTTCCACGAAATATTTTCTGAAACAAAAGTTATTAAAAAAAGTAATACACAATCGATTCCTTCACAAAAAACCATGCAATATCGAACCAAAAAATAATAATAATAATTAGCAACTATTACTCATTTTACAGCATTTGGGGACAAAACAATAAATGTCAGCATATCTTCTATATAATATAACACAACGACTGTTGATATGAAATAAGGAAAAAATTCTTACTGCATAACATGCCATATCTAACGCTACACTCGCAACAATTAAATTTGCTCGCGTCACTGAAATATTATATTATTTGAAAACTAGCATATACAAACGTACAATAGCAAACTTTTACAACAATTCATCATCAGTTAATGAAATATCAAGTAATAAAATTAAGCTGAAATTCTTTTTTATATGCCTATTACAGTTGAAATGAAATTCATATGAAAAATAGAGCAAAAACTCCTTTACCTGCACCTGAAAGAGCACTCTCAGAGACTGCTAAGGCCGAAAGTGTATCAATGGTGCGATAAGAAAGCACAGATTCCTTACGTATTGTTTCTCTAGCTGTGTTGATTATAGTCAGAAGTTCAGCATTAGTGTATTGTATCGCTTCCTGACAACTTTCCAACACATCATACCACCATTTTTTGAATAATCTCTCCACTGCCTGTAATCAAAAAAAAAGATCATATAAACAAAGAAAATGTATGAAGACAATCTAAAAAGTAATAAGATCAACATATCCACAATGATCTTATGTTTCACTTTTTATAAGTCAGTTCCTCTATATAAGTGAATGAGTTATCAATTTTTGATTTGAGATGAAAAAAATAGTGGTTAGATGCTGGAAGGGACATTTACGAAGTAGAAAATTGATTTTGACAAAAGTCTAAAAAGATTTTCATTACAAATTTCATATTACTTTTTGCCTCCTTACAAAATCGACCAAACGAACATTGTTCCGCTCCTGCATTCAATTTAGCAGTTAAAATTCATCGTCATAATGACATACAACGAAATAAACCGTCGTAAGTTACTAAGACAAAAATTTTTTTGCAGTGATACTAGCACAAAGATAAAATTGTTTCAATCGTAGAACAATGTTGCATAACAATTGGTCTGAGTAGGTGAAACTTTAAACCTTGATCATTTCAACCATACGGAAAGCAGCTGAGAGAGAGCTACGTGATATTGCTTTCTGCTCTTCCAATAAACAACTCATCAATGTTTTTAAGAGACGACAAGCCAAATCAGCAAAACGGATACCCTGGAAAACAATAATATTATCATCCGCTTCCCAACATTTCGGGCAAAATTTTTCCTTTAGTTACAACAAGTAAAATTAATAAAAATACACCAATGAAATTATGCCAATAAGTGCGCAGAAAATGTCATGAGATAAATATTGAAAAAATTACTGTATTTACAAGTCACAAATGTTACTTTCAAAAACAGTGAAATTCGTTGAAATATGCGATCACTCGACATCTGTTCTGTTCTCTGCTTTAATTCTTCATTCATACGGTATTTCCACTCATCGAGCTGTAACAAGAAGCAGAGTGATTTAAGAATTATATTTGACTAAATATTTCACGACCTAACCCACCTTTTCCTGTGGATTCTATTAATTATTGTTCATAGGGTCGAATATGCATGAAAACTTCTCGAATTAATAAGCCTCAACAAAACTGATACTCTGCGCTGGAATTTGTAGAAAAACCCAAAAAGAAAATTTTCTTCAATTCAACTGATGTAATTAAAAACTATTTTCAAGATTAGGAGCATTTCGTTATTACGTTAAGTTATTCAAATCATGTTCTTGCTAAAGCATTAGAGTTTTTAATGTTTCGATGTCACTGATAACATTCCAAATTTCATTTTTAATTCAGTAATAATTCGCATTTTGCAAAGTTAGCAACTCACAGTATTAGCTAAAACTGAAGCTTCCTTCGGCAGAACCTCCATGTTTTGTAAAAATTGCGCTTTCTTTGCAGCTTTCATAGCTAACACCATTTTGTGATCAATCACGCGATCTGCTTGTATTAAGTTTTCCAGAATGAATTCGCACGGAGACCAAACAACATGTCCAAAAATATGAAAGACGGGAAGCTTAAACAGTTTTGAAATAACGCTGTATACTGTAGAGTACTTATGATACTTGACTAAAAACATTCTATTTTTAAACTTTTTTTTACAATCAAATACTGATTTTGAGACCAGTTTTGAAAATATAACGAAAACTAATCTAGAAACTCGATTTTGAATACTGCTAAATCAGTCAATGAGCTAAAAGTAAATAAAGATTTTAAAAAGAAATAATTTAACTACTTAATTAGGCGCCTAATCAAAAATGACTGAATTATATAACTGAATCCGAATATTTAAATGATTTTCTATTACAAAATTCGATCTATTTACTTTTCATTTCTACTATCACGAATGAATTTTTCATACTATTGTTAGTAATATGAAAAATTAAAAAAATGATGCTTGTCAATAATTCTGTAAAGTATTCAATCAAAAATAACAATAAAAACAATCAGACTTTTTTGTAGCTATTCCAAATAGTTCGCATCATTTTTTTGTCTGCTGTTCCGAACATGAACATATGACAGATAGCAAGAGCAACAATCGCCATCAAAAAGCGCTTATGCGGCAAATCATCAGCTGAAATATGCAGTAGTTACATGTTAGTCAAAATCCCTGACTGATCATCCTTTTTTGGAAGGTAATTATTACTTTTCTTAACAATGAAGTGAACAAAATAATCCTGAAACTTTAAAAACACAAACTTTAATAAAAGAGAGTAAATCTTCAGCAAATTCAGAGTATCAGCATCACTAAACCATGTTATATAAAATTCATCAAAGTGGAATGAAAAATAAAAACAAAACTGATACCATACCAGCTATTCTATCCCATTTTTCATACATCTCGATCGTTATACATTTCATTCTTTCATTCATCAAATCACTATCAAGCAAACTTTCTTCAAAAATTTGCTGGCAGCAGTCCTAAACAACTTTTCTACATGTATTCCACTACATTATATTATCGCAAAATGATCAAAAACTGCAATTTTGTCAACAGTGATTCAAAAATCAAAAGATACCACCAATACAGAAATGATTAAACTGAAAATCTGCAATAATAATTACTAAATAAATATACAACACTAGACACCATATATACTTTCCTTCTTTGAACGACTTTTACGAGACCGATGTAAAGGTTGTCAAACTCATATTGTTAAATTCACTATATGACTACATAAGATCTCAAGCAATTTAAATGATGTTGCACTCCGCACTACCAATTATGAAATTTATGAACAGATCAAGCAAATATTAACTTTATTTGTCAGCCACGATATTATAAGTTGATAGTTCAATATTATGCCTTGTTCGGAATAGTTTTAAAATCTTAATTATTTTTTACAATAAATGCAAACGTCTTGAACCTTATTTCCGTTATTCAAGCATAAATCCACTAACGTCACGTTTGCATGATTCTCAATTTTATGCTACATACACTAGATAGTAAAAGTATAAATTCTCGTTCACCTTATACAGATTGGCTTGAATAATTGATTTATTAATGCTATCAATAAGTTGTTGAAATGGAGGTAACAATTCTGATTCTGCGTTAAAATGTGATGGATTACGATTCACCAATTTCATTGTTCTACAAAAACTTCGAATTTTTTAAGCATTACAGAAATTTGTTTGTTGCTTTGGTTATAGCCTAGATTTCGACTACACTTCACTTTCGATGAAAGATTTGTAAATCGCAAAAAGATTGATTTGCAATGTCTCTAACTATTTTTTCAAATAATATAGCTAAAAAACTATACAAGTTGAAAAAAAGATTTCTCGCCGACATTACCCAGGCTATACTTTAATGTAACTATCAGAAACAGAAATGAATAAGCGCCGGAAGTGTCTGAATTCATAAAATTTTGATTTCATCATATTCCATAATTCCTTACAGTGCTTTTCGTTTCATCACAAACATAATGAACAGAACACACAGCACTAACTTGTAGTATGATTTCCAGTGTTGTTGTAGAGTAGATTGCTTTCGAAGAATCTGATCAAGAGTAATCAAAACTGACAATAATAATCCAAGCGAGCGCCACATTTTCAACAACTTTCTTTCGTGTGCTTGTTCCAGAAGTTTGTCCCTATAATTGGAAAACTTTGAAAAAATTGAAACAATTGTTGAATCTTTATTCTATGAGAAAATAAATAATAAAATCAAAATTTGTTAAATTACTTTGAACTATTGAAATGTTATTTTCAATTTTTTTTTCTTTCACAAATTTTGAATGAAGTACCTGCAGTTTACATAACCTCGTGAGAGTTTCAAAAAATTAAATAAGTAATAAACAAATAATAATTCACTTCGATGACAGCAAGGCGTAAAGTTGACAGATAATATTGCGGAATACTTCTTGACAGCGCTGCACAAAAATTTGAAGCTCCTGAAGATGTGGCAAGAATTGAGCAATCATTTTCACTGTTCCATCTTCTGTTGACAAACAACCATCAACTGTCAAATAAGCATACTATTAATTATAACAACAAAATGTTTAAAAAACAGTTTCTGTGATTTCATTCAGTTTCTAAGCTTAGTAAAATTTCCATAGAAAGTTCACATTAATTGTGCTTTCGTATGAAAGCAAAAATTCAATAAACCTGATATCGTGAGTCGAAATAATAAATTATTTTTCATTTAATGATTAAATTTATTCGTTAAATATATAATCGACTCATCACTAAAAAATCTATCGAGATATGACGTTACTTGGAATTACAATAACACATACAGTCAGTATTACTTGGCAACTAAAGATCAGTTTTGTAAGAAAGTGACAGCTTAGATAGTTGAAACTTTCTTCATTTTTAATGATTAGACTTCTTTTAGCCTTTACCATTTTCTCCATAAACAATCAGTGCCTTATAGAATGTACTTTGCGCTTTTTCGAACAAAATATCTACTTCCAAGACAAGTGTGGAAAACGTGATTATACATTTATCCACAATTGAATTTCCACTATGCGCTATTCCTGCTACAGTATGTCCAGAATCATAAAAACTACCATTCTGGAAAATGCAAATTTTAAAATAACTTAAATTCTTTAAAGGCAAAATCTATCGTATGAATAATGATTACTCTTTAAAATTATATTTTGATGTGAATGCAGTAGAAAATTACGCAATTTAATCTAGCTTCCAAAACACAAGTGAAAAATCGACAGAAACAATCATTTCTTATATAGTTTGAAGTACCACATAATTTATGTACTTAACTCGCACTTAAAAAACTGTGTCCTGCAGCGAACTGTAAGAGGAAAAAAAATATTCAGTAACACCAAAATATTTATATGGGAAACATTACTCTTCGCTACCGTAATAACGTATGATAAAATGTTTGGACTTAACTTAAGCACATTAATAGCTTATGGCTTAAGCACATTTATAGCTCATGATTACACAATTATCTTAAATCTCCTCATAAAAAGCTGTTAATTTACTTTCATGTTAGATAAGGACCCTTTAGAAAATCTGCATAATCATGAGACTAAATTTGCTTACTTTTAATAATTATGCAATATCGAAAAAACATTTAAATACAAGCAAAGAGAGGCTGCATTCATTATTGTGGTCACTGTTGGGCGCAAACGGTAGTGACTTCCACTAGCGATAACGGCTTCGGGTATTTTTCATCTATCAGGGGGCAGCCGCTAAAACTGGGATTGGGAACAGTGAACTACCCAATAAGTAACTGTTCCCAATACTCTACGCTTCAATCTACCTTTTGTTTTTGCAAACATCACCCACCGATTCAGACGTACAAAATCAACTCAAAAACGTCTCTCCTTCTGAGATTAGGATCTAGAAGATTCAAACAGCATCGGTAATGCAATTTTGTTTTGACACCTCCGCTACTAGTATTATCCATTTCCTTCTTTTCTTAGCCGTTTAAAACATGGAAAAAGTGATGGGAACACGCCAGTAGCTACTATCAACCATCTAGCACCTTCTTAATTCCAAGGTTTTGTTCCACCTGTAGATATAATAAGTTAGTCTAGTTCAAAATTCAACTTCTCATGTTTCTGACAATCAATCCTTGATAAAATTTTTTGCTTACTGCATCTACAATAGTTCCAGACTAATTATTCTGATACACATTGCACTGCTACGCAGAAATTTATCTTTCAATAAAAGGAAGATAAAGACATCGAGAAACAAAGAAAATGAACTCAAAAAATCCAAGGTAGGGTTATTATTGCAAGCTTCTGATATTATCAGAAATTTGCATTTCAGAAATTCAGAACAGTAAAGAGTATGGAAGATTATCACAGGAATAAATACGAAAGATCATTTCCATTCTGAGTGACGTACTCTCTTTCCTGTACTTTTTAAAACTTCAGGACTGAGAGCGAGCAAAAGCCATTACCAAAACAGGGACAAGTGTTCTATTCCAAATACTTCTATAACCAGCAACAGTACTATTACCAACATGATCATTCTACCACATCACCAGTACATTTATTGAAATTTCTTATGTCTTGGCTTTGCGTCTGATATAATTTTTAGCGCTGAAGAAAGGTTTCAACTGGCAATCACATTCTTCTGAGTTCCTAGAATGTAAACCCAGACGTCATGAATTTCAAACTCATAATTAAGCTTAAGGCAAATCAATGTATCAACCAGCAGTGAGATCCTAGTCAAATTACTGTAAAACCACCCTAACATCTTTTAACAGCGATATCTAATTAAGTCAAATGCTGTCTACTTTTAAAACATAGATCTGTGTGAGGCTAATGCTTTATTTGAAAATTGAACAGGATACGGCTAACACAAGTCAAACAAGTAGCACAGATATAGTGGCAAAATATGGCTATGTCCTGACTAATAACGCGAAACTTGGTTCAGGACGTTACGGTAAAGTATGTGAAGCTATACATACTAAGACTCAACAAAAGGTATCATTTTGATATAAAGTCTTTGGAAGTAAAAAGCACACGAAACAGAATACTTGAAAAATGAAAGAAAATTACCATAACAGTGCATGATGAGAGCACTAAATAAACTGGGATAAAGAAAAGCTTGGCTGGTGATAATTTTGGCAATTATATTTTACCATTACTCAGCAAACTCAGACGTTGCAGTATTTAAAAATAAAATAAAAATTTTCAACTAAAAACCTGCAGGATCGATTTAGATAACACTTTCTTTAGGTGGCAATAAAAATAATTGATACACGAAAATTAAAATGGGAATACAGAACAAAGTTCTTGCCACGTGAGATTCAGTCATGGAAACGCTTTCGTCATCCAAATTTAGTGGCTCTGCACTGTGTCTTTGAAGTCAATGGCAAAATTTACATGCCAATGGATCTTGCCGAAAGGGGTGATCTTGTAAGTTCTATTTCTGTTCATGTACTATCTATCTATTAAAACGCAATATGATAAATGCCTGGAAATATAACCAACGAATTAAAACTAGCCGACACTAGATTGCATAGATTTAGCAGAACAATTAGTGATGTCAAAATGAAACAAGCTAGAAGAATCACTACACTTCAAGTCCTTATCACAAAGGAACTGTTTCACACTGGAATCAAACAATAATATCGAGTTCACTATACCATGTTTCTTCAACCAGTAACTGAAAATCTCTCCACACTTTTTGATCTTAATCACTATCTTGAAAAGAATTCTAGATGAAATGGCGAAAACATTAGCAATTCCCTCGATTTTTCAGCTAACATACGTGCAGAAATATGGTGCGCAGTCAGAATGCACTGCAAAAAAATGGATGCGACAAATCATCTCAGGGTTGTGTCACATGCATATGCGTGATATAGCACATCGAGATTTGAAATTGGAAAATATCCTGCTTTTCAATGACGATACAATAAAAATTGGAGACTTTGGATTCTGCAGGAAGGTACGCTCTGAACTAAAAAAAGTTGGTTACTGCAAAAGAAACCCAAAACATTCTGGTAGCGAATAATATCAAACTACGAAAAACTATAGTCTGTTGACTCATATTATTACCCACCGCTCAAGAAAAAAAATCAAAGCCTAAAATTCCTATTTTAGGCTATAGAAGGTGAACTATCAATGACATTTTGTGGCTCTCGATCATATTCAGCCCCAGAAATTCTTCTGGGTAAAGAATATATACCAATGAAGGCAGATATATGGTAAGGTTAAAAAAGCTCAACTCAAGGCTTGGAACTACCTTAAAGCAAAAAAATAAATCAGCTTTTGATTTATTAAGCTATTGAATAATCGACGACCTACCGGTCGAGATATTAGCAAACACCTAGAAATCTTGCCTTCAACAAGGGAAACCTCGGTGAATTCTAAAAGTCAACTATTAAATTCCAGACAATAAGCAGGGTCATTATTGCACTAAAAAAACAAAACAATAAGCTGTAGCAAGACATCTCACGTTTTAGTTTCATAACAATTTAGAGAGGTCAAAACTTGACTAGATATCCCTAGTTACCCAAACTCTCCGAAGACTCCTTCTTTTGTCTTCTAGGTCACTTGGCGTCGTAGCTTACATAATCGTCAGCAACCGAATGCCATTTAATGAACAAGAAGGTAGTAACTCAATTATCATTGAAGCACAACGCACGCGTGCATATCAATACTCACGAAGATGGCAGTTAACTTATGACTGCCAAAATACCATTGATAGCATGATGACGTTTGACTTCAATGCTAGGCCGGACATACACCAGGTTAAACGAAATACTAAGAACATTAATCTTTTTCTTGCTTACGATTTCTTCAACCTTGAACACTGGTTTCGACGATATTTCATTTGTCAATTCAAAAAAAAATTTTCAAAGAAATACAGAAGAGTTGAAGAAATTCTCAAAGTAGAGCTAAGGTTAAGAGAAAACAAAAGGAATACACTGTTTTTAGTTAAAAAATGAATACTATCATTATTTTCAAAAAGGATTTCAAAACTGCGTAAGTCAAAGACAACAAAAATCACATGATAAATCTAAAGATGGTTTATAGTACACAGCATGACCTGCTACACTTTCTGTTTCGTGGTAATAATGAATTTAGTTTGATATTCTTCAGTTTTCTTTACTTGCATCAATGTATTCATTTACAAAAGACTTAATTTACCACTAACAAAATTTTATTTAATATGACCTTAACCAAATAAGTTAAACTATCAGTTCATGATACTAACGACTAAGCAATTACAATAAGCCTGAAATACATCATAATTCGTAAACAACAATAATATTGATCGCAATTTACTATTTCAGGTAAAGAATTTGCCTTGGTTCCAAGTACCAAAGGCATCAAAGGTAAATCAAGGAAATGGATTCGATAAAGCTAATGTATAGTTTAACATTTCCTGTATTACTTTGCTTCATTGTTTATTAAAAATTTTAACAAATAATGGCTTTTTACCAAAAAAAAAACAAACTTTTAACTTTATTGGAACTGCTGCCCAAAAGTAATGTATATTTTCAAATTCTGAGTGAACCCACAAGATAAGGTGAAAACAAAATCGTCATAGATTTTGGTATCAAAACCTATGTCTATTAAATATTTTGATTGGAAAACAAATATTCCACAAATTTTTTCAAGACAAAACTGAACAATTACTTGAAATTACTAGTAACCTGGATTTGAACAAATTCTTGTTTCTTATTAATGCATAAATCATTGTCGTTGAGTTTATGTAGTAACGATGTAAAACGACACAACTCCACTTTGCCAACACTACCTGAAAAGATCTTCCATACCTAACACCTTCAGAAATGCAAATGCACTTTTGAGAAATCGCTTTTATAGCAATAAGTAATCGAAGTTACTCCCTGACCTAATATTACAGACAGTTTCCATTTATCAGAGAACCATTTTTGAAAGACTAAACACATATATTAATGGTACAAAACTAGAGAACAATTTTTCCCTTTCAAGTCTATACACTAAAAATATCTTTAAAAAAAAGTGCAGAAAACATAAGACAATCCAACCCAACTGTGAATTCTGGAAGAAACTGACTCCTTTGTACTAAGAAATGAAATACTCACCATTCTTCGGTTCATCCATTGTAGTATGATTCAGAACGTGTCAAGATTCCAAACCTTAGTAACTGGGAAAAAATCTTTGTCAAGATTCTCAAAAAATGAAGTTAGCGTACACCTCACCCCAACTCAAACCCCTAAGTAAGAGCGGTCGAACTCTCGACTATACTTATGCAGACTCTAGCACCCCGTCTGTTATATCAATACTTCTTACTTTTATAATTCCAAAACTAATTCCCGTGGAATCTACAACCTATTTCAGCTCGGCAACGAAATAAAGAAAACTATGCACATGGTTGCAGAACCACAATATGCTCACAACGACCGGGAAAAAACGCAGTATGATAACAGGCCTCAAGATACAAAACCTTTTGTATGTCGACGAACTTGTCGAAACGACGAACATTTGTAGGCCGACGAACTTGCACTATCTGTACGCAGACTTGAATGAGTAAATTCCAAGATATAAAGCTGTGATATACATAATTGAGAAATGCTAAATATTTTGGAATACTGTTTAATACTGAAGCAGTCAGTTATAAAAGTCACATTTTTTTCATTAACTGAAGAAATGCACTAAACAACAACGATAACAATCAAAACCGAAAAAAAAAAACAAAGCTGATAATTGTGCGATGAGTCTTCAAATTTGTAATAAATTTAGATCTCACTTTATATGCTTACATAATTTCATAATACTATGATAAGAGATAAAATAATTTTTGGCCGAAATAAGACACAGCAAGTAACTGCTACCGAAGTTTAAACTGAGCGATATCATCGTCTCATTCGAACCACTATAAACCGTCAAAAATTAGTCATATATTCACTCATCCTAAATCACTTTCTTTTCTTCTGTGTGAAATGGAGAGGTGTTACAGGACTATACGTCCATTTAGGAAAAACTCGTTTGTAAAGGTTCATCATTACTGTATCCATAGCATTCAAATGCTGATCAAATACACATTTCATGTGCCCATGTGTTCCTGAAAGGAATGATTATTTACAAAACAGAATACTGATGTAAACAGACAGAACATCCCTCATTATATATGATCAAATATTGATGTAAACAGAAATCATAAAAGATAACATCAAACAATCAACTTTCAACAGCTTTCAATGACCAGGCTAGTGACTCAAAAAACCAGTATTTGAAGTTATCAAACACAAATTTATTGATGTAAAGCTTAAACCACAAAAAGCTTTTTAAATCAATCAGCAGTATTTTCCACCTATTAAGACAACTAAAAATATACATACATATAATCCAATCCCTGCAGCAAAAAAAATGCTTCAGCTCTCAAGGCTCATTTTAGAGAATAATTTACCTAAAGCCTCCTTAATATGTCCTCTCCGACCATGCTGTGTATAGAGCTCTACTGGTTTGAACCATTCAATATCGTCTGAAAGGAACTTTGACATTTTCAGCTATTAAATGTTAATGATTTTTCAAATAACTTTTCCACGAGATTTAATGAAAAAAAAATTTGCGTTGCTTGGGAGCAAAAGGTTATTTTACATAGATAATGACATGAGAAAGAAATGCTGTCTACACTTCCGATTATCAGACTCTTTTTATATTCGTTAGCACTAGAAAACGTAAACATATCACAAACTATGTTGAAGATAAAATTCTTTCCATAGGTTCTATTTTTTCTAACGATAAAACATGACAGAATAAAGCCTACCGCGGTTAAAAAACATGTAGCGCACCACAACATTCCTACGGTTGATTTTGAATGGATGCCCAGAAAGAACGACCCGCTTTAAAATGACTCGATCGGGATTACAGTCCAACACACTACCCGTTGCCACAAGATGATGGTTACCCCGGGAATCAATCCGATAGACAAGGACAGGTGCCGGTAAAAAGATTATTGGTGCAAATACTGAGGCAACAAAATAACGATTTTCCGGCATGAATCGTTCCATCTAAGAAACCAAAATCAAATGACTATATAATGTATTTGAGACAATAAAAACTTAAGTTCCAGCTAACTCTTACAACAAATTCAAATTATGAAAATAGACATTACACCAAAAAACGGATTTCAGCAAATACATATGATGTGCGTAAGTAAATGAAAAAATACTAACGAGTCATTCGTCTATATAAAAGCAACAACCTTGGCCTTATCACCGTTTGTGTTTTGTGAAAAAACTGGCTCAGCTTCAAAATATCGATAACCCACATGAAACACCAACTTTTGCTTGTTTGGTATTGGTACAGTACAGGATGGGTGTTTCTTCAAAACCATATTTAGAACTGACATTTTATGCTCATGAGCCAGCAATCCATAAACTACTAATGGAGTGTCGGTCGGCCAATCATCTAAAAATTGTAGAAACTTTATGAAACTCCACTAGAAACAGAAACTTTTTTCTGGTGCCTTATCAGAATAAAACTGATTAAATTTAAATGAGTAATAAATCATGCCAATAAAGTTTCCTGTACCATATAACTCACAGAACAAAAAATTTTTTTCTGCTGATAACTAGCTACAATACTCAGTTTCTTCAAGGCAAATTAATTGAGTCTCTAAAAACCTAATTCCTTTCGAGTTCTCAAACATATTTCAAATTACACGCACCAACAAATATTTTAAAACACTAAAATAACAATGATTTCGAAAACAATGCAGAAACAAAGCCACTACAGCAAGTACTTGATCACAACTCTTTTTAAAAGTCAATTTGATTACAAGTATTTGAAAAATGTACTTATGGAGTTCACTGGTACTTTAGAAATATAAAGTGAGAGAAATGCGCCCTTAGGAGCACTGCATTCTGCTTCAGTCGCAACCGCAGATAACGCAATTTTCTTAGATTTGCGGTAGTCAGAAAACTTGAAAATTCTAGAGTATGAGCTGGGGAGGTTTTCAAGCGGATCCCAAGGTGATGCCCTGAAATTTGACATGATATGCTTCACTATAATCCCTCAATGCCACAAAAAAAGTTTTAAAAAAAAGTAAGACTAAATTTTGAACTGACCTGAAGCTTTTCAAAGCACGGTACCTCTGAAAACGGATTCTAGCTTGTACATCCATAGGTGTATCTATCTCGTCAGGAAACTGTTCATTTTCACGGGCTTTGCGATATTTCTCCACTTCTTCAGCATCGATTTCCTCATCTCCTATTTCCATTAAATCTTCTCGATCATGCGTGTCACTTTTCTGCATAATCATGATAAATTATAAATATACTGAAGAACCATATCATATGACGTAAAACACAACTATTTGTGATATCAGGAAAGATAATGGCACCACAAAAACTAACTGTTTCAAGCTCGTTTTCGCTTTCTGAATCTTGATGTTTCGTACCTATTTCTTCGATGTTACGAACAATATCATCTATTTCCTGAGAATAATTAAAATCTTACTGGTCAATCACACAATGTAGCCAAGACAGCATTTTCATTCATCATATTCTAGCCAAATATGACAAAAAGAGGAGCCAGGTCAAAATTTCACTTCAGATATATTAAGAATCTATATCTGTTCTACAACTCCATCCACCGTTTCCAGAGGTAAGATAACTTTAGCTAAAAAATATTAACCATGCCATCTGTTCCTTCTTCATCTTCATCAATGATCCATTCAGCTTGATATGTCGATGTGCCAACAGGCACTTTTTTGATTACCTTTGCCGTTTTAACTAAAAATTTTGATAATTATCCAACACTTCTGAAAGTAATGAAATATATTTTAAATTACAGGATCCAAGAATATTTGAAAACACAAAAATAACAATGATCTCGAGAAATATTTCAAAACCAAATCTTACTAACACGCTTCTTTAGGAATTTCTTCCTCAACTGGCCACGTTTGCTCCGCATCCATAGGATCTAAAACTGTTTCAGATTCCAGTGACGTTTGCAAATCTGCATTAGGATAAAATGTTGTTCCTGCAACTCTCTTACCATGTCGAGGCTGCAATTAAAGGTGATCAAAAAAGAAACATTTTTTCACCATCAGTATTATTTTCTAATTTGCACGATAATTAGAAAGAGCGCTCCTCTTACACAGTTAAAAGACTTTTCTTTTAATTTAAAAAATTTTGGGCACTATTCATAGAAAATGATACTCAAAAAACCTTGTTGGGAAGCAAGAGATCATCTTCAATGACAATCTTATTCATCTGAAAATCCCCAAGACACGGAACATGGATAAGACTGTTAACATTTAATGACTGCCCCTTCAAATAACCGGTAACTTTTAGTGTACAGAAATCTCCCTGCAATCGCTTAAGTTGATGAATGCTGACAAATTATTTTTTGAAAAACAATTTAAAGATATTTCACACTTCTGAGACGAAATTATAAATTAATTTCCACAATTTTTAATATTATATGTATTTTCTCATAAATCAATTCATCATTTAAACATTACTATATAATCCTGATATAATGTTCAGCTTTTTGAAAATTTACTCTTCTGACACCTCAATTCGTATTTAAAATAACTTTGCTGGACTACAAATAGCTTTTAAATATGGCTTGAAGGCACACTCAAAAGGATAAAAAATGTACCTCGATTTCAGTTTCACTAATACTTTCAGCAACCAAAAATGGCCGCATTTTCTGCATGGGTGACGGCTTTTTTTTAACAGCACTAATTAAACGCAGCGTACGTAAACCATCACTTGTACGATCGCATTCCATAAGTTTTTCATCGCCAAAACTCCTAAAGTAACTGGTTTAACAGAGAGATTCTTGAAATAATACATAATTATTGCAATATTTTCATATTCGATACAACCACTAACAGAGTCAAAATATTAAATACTGAAATCGAATAATAAGTTTAATTTTTACTGTCGTTCATGTTCTCAGTCCATAATGTGATAAAATAGAGAAAATATATGTGACTACTTGAATCGAATAACCCTTTTCTACAGCTTTTATTAGCGAATAGTAAATAAGTGATTTACGAAGAGATAAAAATACCAGTTAGCGATCATTTTCGACACATTTTTCCTTATATTCTCTTTCTGTTTAGGGATCGTAACTGCACCGAGTTTTGGAACAAAATGCATTGTCGTTGGCAAGCCATAAGACAATAAAGTACTGATTAAAATATCGTTTTCCGTTGTAATTTCACAATTAGATGGCCAGATAAATACAACAACATCAGCAATTTTTAAATAATTAAGCACAACATCAGTGCAAAAAAGAAGAGGTGCGGTAAAAACGTAGTGACTTTTAAGTTTTTTTATCCTATAAAGAAATATATGAAATAAAGCACAAACTGAGAAAGAAAAGGGAATACTGATTGAATTTAAAAAAATTTTAAGTCATAATTAATTAAATTTCTGGATGAATATAAACAGCAAAAAAATAAGAAAATCTCTTAAACTATCATCTTTCTTGTGTTCTTACTGATACTTGCTGTTATGATACCAACGTAACAAATTCTATTAAGTGTTGGCTAAACTATCTTTAATTTGAAAAAGAAAACGGATAAAAATTGAAACCAACTGAATGACAAGGAACATGAAGTTTTCCTTTCAAGAAATCATGATAAACTTACAAAACGTGGCACATTCCACATCCATAAGTAGGATGCACCTGAGCAGATTCATCACAAGAACACATCAGACCCAAGAATTCATGAGGTAAGTAGTTCTTGTCAAACGACAAAACCATCTAGAATACAGAATAAAAAGTTTTAATAAGTAAAATCAGAAATGATGCAAATAAATTAAAAAACAACAGTTGATTCGGTTAATTCAGTCGGTATACAGAAAATTTTATGAAATACTTTAGGAAAGTTTCAAAAACCTATTCACACAAACAAAAACAAACACAATTATTCAACAAGCACGACTGATCGATGATATATCTTACTTATAAATTACTTTCTTTTAAAGCAAATATCTATTCATTCGTGCAACAAATAAAGAACTAAACTATCAATTTTTTTAAAGTTTTAATATTAAAAATAAATACATGTTACGCAAAAAGTAGTAAGAAATGCGAATCAAAAAACATACAACAAAGATGGGAGGTTGTTCCCAATAAGGTTCAGTCATCTGATTGCTTTCAGACGCATTACGCTTCTTCATGCGCAACTGCTGCGTTCGATGACGTCGAGCATTTTTTCCGACGGCAAAACGACATTTGTGACTTGTTGCATTTTCGCCGCTCTTTCCTGGAAATCCATCAATCTTTGATGCTGCACAGCTTTTCTTACTTGCTGCTTTCATGACTTCATGAGCTAAGATTAGACAACATATTCCATCAAGAACTTCTCCACTTAAAAACCTTATAACGCATATATTTACAAGAATTAAAATTTCGGCCTGAAAATCGATTAACGAATTTATGAATACATCCTAAGCTCTTTCAAGTAGTCCAGATGAAACAGACCTTTCGAGATTTTATTCAAAAAACCCTTACTGCGATGCCGACCACCCTTATGTTTCTTGTTAGATTGCTTCAAAGGCCCAGCGCGATGTCCTGATCCCATTATTCAAATTAAGCCTATTCTGGAAATATAGTTCAACGTTAATTAGCTACCCTTCTCGGTGTATGCATAACATACGCGACATCTCAAACATCTCACCAAACCATAAATGATGTAAACAATTTGCTGGTAGGGAGACACACCATAATGTCAAGGTAATTTTTATCACTAATATGTTATTAAAGCTTCTAAACTCAGTACGAAATTTCAAGACCGAAAAATGGAACACGACCATTGATTTATTCCTACACTAAATCGACTCCCACAGAGAGAAAAAAAGTAACCATGAAGCGAAGGCAATGACTTCACGCTTTCAACTGTGCAGTTAGCACTAAAAAGTTTACAGAGAAATAAAAAACTGGTAGAACAATATACGGAGAAATGAAGTGAAGTCAGAGGTTCGGAAAGACAATGGTGGCAACAAATACTGAAGCATGCTGATGACAAGACAAAAGCAAGAAATTTGCAAATGTATCCCCATCTTTTTATTCTCAAACCAAATACAAATAAAAACAGGCGCAACTATTATAATGAATCGCCTCACAGAAAAAAATTTCACTATAAAAGACCAGTAAGTCATTTTCATTTCAAAACCGACCTAAAAATCGATCATTACCAGAAAAAAGGCTTACCGTTGGTGATTATAGTTTGCTATCCATTTTTTTTTCTGATAATATTATAATAATAACAATGAATAATAATACGTAATAATGATAACATAGTTATAAATAAAATAACAATATAAAACTTTATAAGTTACTGAAATCAAAATTTTAGATGAAATTGAAAAAGTTTAGTGATCCTGCGAATTAAATCCTAACGTTAAGTCCTGTGCACAAGAAAACAAGAGCAGGATATAAATTGCAATTATTATCAAATGAAATGCTGATGCTTCCATAAGAAAGCTTAATACTAAGGTTTATACTCTTGCATACAAGAGATATGTTCGAATAGTAATAACAAATATTTAAAAAGTGAAAAGTGATTAACCGCGGTCATAACGATGATAAAACAAAATACGCCAAATTCCGATGCTATTAGTCACAACAAGACTCTATCAAATAAGAATGAAACAATATCGTTAAATTCCTTCTTTTAACTCATATAGACTTCAGTTTCACAATTCATTGCCAGTGAAATCTCCATACTCCCAAATATTGCGATGTTCGCGACGAGCTATCTTCTCTGCTTCTTGATATTCGGCCATCTATAAGTAAGTTTAGTAATAAAAATAAATATTTGTATTTTGATACGGTAAGTCTTACTAATGCAGCAAATCGTTTCTCTTGTCTTAGATCCACAAGGGCATATCCCTCAACAACAAGCATCTTGGCAATGTCAGTGCGGGAACCCTCAGATGTTTCCATAACCATCGTCACACAATCCACACCGGCATTCCGATACTCAACGTTGATATAAAAGAATGGCACCGAGGAGAGAACACGGTTGAATGCAGTGTCTGTATAAGTGACATAATCCGGATCATTAGGCATTTGCAAAAAAGCTATTTGATATTCACGTGCACCAGGCGGCTGCATAGCAAAACCGACTGGTAAAGTAGCCAACGAAGTTAGATCGACAACTTCTCTCTATAATAGTGAAGATATGTCAAATATCATGAGTAAAACTAATTAAAAGTTCAAAAAAAAAATTCTATGGAATACGTTCTGAGTATGCAAAGAAGTGAACCAATTCAATCAAATTTAATTTGGATAAGAATCCGAGCAAAAGCAAATAGCTGACAAACTGCTAATAAATATAAATAGTGAATCAACTGAAAATAGTAGTTAAATATGTACTAACTGTTATATATGCAGTAAATAAATTGCCGTTTCTTTCAGTTTTACTTTCTTTACTGAGTAAGATGGAGAAAAAAGATAGCCTGATTATGAGTAAACAAAATTTCAATTGCATTAATCTTTTTTAAGCTTTCAAACATATAATTCCATAAAAATTACATTTCCGAAATCGACGTATAAAACCTGGACTTTCTTCCCCTTTATTCCTTCTACACGTGCCCGATACCACAAATTGTCAACCGAAAACCGAGCAATACATAAATCTCCACGACGAGGAGTGTATGCACCGATAATTGGCTGTTTGTTCTTCAACTCCTCACGCAAATCTTTCATCATTTGTTCTAACTTCTGACCTAGAATTCTTCTACTCTTAATTGTCGATTAATATTCAAACCTTAGAACACCAACTAGAACTCAATGATACAAAAATCACTCCACAGAAATTTATGAGATAACAACAAAGTGGAAAAATAGATAAATGGAGCCATTTCCTCCACGAAATCCTATCGCTCTTGAATGTCATATCTAGAAAACTTTACTTACCATCATCGACCGCCTGAGCAGCAAACTTAAAATTCCCCTTTTGTACATCAGTGACAACTACTTTCCGATAATTAATAACACGGTCTTCCTTTTCAACAGCTGATGCTAGTTCCGCTTGCATGATTGCATCTTCTTCAATCCACTTAGCCCAGATACCCAGTTTTGCCTGAAATTCAAAAACTCGTCAATATAAACTCCTCTAAACATTCGCTAAGTAGAATTATGTTTTTGAAGACACAAAGCATTCAAAAAATTTCAGTGAACAAAATAATAATGATTCCAAAATCATCATCATTTCATACATCCTAAATGTTCTTGAAAAATATTCCATTTTTCCAAACAATTCTGTTAGAATCAACGCGTTAAAAATAAGGTAAACGATGTTACTTCATAATCTCATGACTATGTTTCTGTATAAATACTAACAGTAACGAAATGGAGTACGTGAAATTTCTAGACTACAGAAAATTAAAACCTTTTTAGCTCTTTCTTCTGCTGCGCAAAGCTGAGAGTAATATGCACCTTTTTCAGCAGTGAAATGCACACTCGCCAGGCCATGTTCCACAAGTGCTACACTCATGTTACAAACACCCTGTTCGGTATGTATAAACATGTATCCAATGAAACTTCCTGATTTATCCATATTCTCAACTTCTATCTCTACCTGAAAGTTTGCTACAGGCAGATTACTTTAATAATCAATAGATATTAGCTTGAAAGACCACAAGCTGCTCACCTCACGTTGTATAATTTTTGAACGCGTGAATCTGAAAGCTTCTTGAGCGAACGGTTCATTTTCACCAATAACTTTTCCACCTTGACCGATACGAGCACCACGGGGACAATCAATACCAGAAAATAAAAATGTTATAAGGCACGTTTCCTTAGGCACATATAGACGAACCCGACTACCAGAAGCAATAAATTCTACAATTGCCTCTGAACGACCAGATCTTTGCAAATAAGGCAGAAATTGCTTCGACCGCTGCGCATCCTGTAACAACCATTGTTCATGGAAAAAGAGCATGCATTAGAAATAGCAAAATGAATACAACAAACTTTGAGCTCAATCAAGAAAAACAGAAGCATTATATAATAATTATTATGAACAGCTGAGAGATTCATCTTCTTTTTCTCGTTATTAGTTTTGCCGTACGATGATACACTCTCCCTGCACATGTTCCGCACTCAGTTTTGCTGGTTCCTATACACTGATGGACTACTTTCCCTTATCCTTCGCGGAGTTTCTTTCTATAACCTCATCCATCCTTTATCTGTTTTCTATTATGATCCCAGATTCGTTTTTTTTCCGTCCACTCTCCATTTCCTGCTTTATGATACAGTCCAACAGCTCGACAACTCAACCAAATAGCTGATATAAATAGATATATAAATAATTGAGAGAGAGGAGAAGAACAAAAGTTCACAATCGTTACATCGCACACGAATTCACTAAATGGCCTCGTTCCAGCTAAGTGCACAACATTCACTCGAACACAACAAATTTAAAAGAATTAATTCGATTTATAAGAACAATCATAAACGAACCGATTGCAATTCTTGAACCCTCACTACTGAACCTTTATCTCCCAACTCTCTATCAGCAAAGAGACCCTTTTTACTTTTTTCTGCTTTTGCCTCGGCGGCTAATAAAGCATCATACTGTGATGACCTGAAAATTGAGGGAATTAATTACTTTTCATGCAATTAATTGTACATAGACAAATCTCCATTGATGAAATATTAGTGATTTTCATATCGTACCGATTGTCATCATCACTTCTATATCGTACAACTTTAGCCAAGCCCTTTGAAACAAGAGCTTCACCGACGTTCAATCCCCCTAACATTACAGTACAACAAATTTTTTCTGGAAACTGCTCAGTTTTCACTTGAATATAGTCAATCGTAATCTGCAAAGTTATTTCGCAACTTGGTGAAAGCAAGAAAATACCACAATTACATGTTGAATTGAAATAATTTCCGGAATAATGAATTCAAGTTTCCCAGTAACTACTGAAAAAACGTGAACTAGTAACCATTTTCTTTTAATTAAATAAGATGAGCAAAAAATAATTAATGCCCTACAAAAAAAATGAACCTGAACTTTCCTGCCTACTAACCGCTTCCGCAAAAACTCCCGGGCTTCAAACATATAAGGAATGTCATACAATGGTCGAAACTGACGACCCACTTTGTTTTCATAGTCTCTACTTCCGTCCCTCAAAATGCGATGTCAAGAGAGTTAGAGTTTTGCAAAAGCATGAAAAAACAACATTCTAAAATAAAATTATAACCATATTCCGATGCTTATAAATTACAATTCTGCTAGGTCAAGAAATTTTTAAAATTGATTACCTGGGTGGTCTTACAGAGGAGAGCCAGATTTTGATTTCGTTTTCATTTTCCTTTTGTACTATAAGCGCATCAGCCATTACAACTTCAATCACTTTTGCTGTGAAAGTTCTTTTATCAACATTTAACTGATTAGAGGGCTGATATGAACGCCATAAACGAAGTCTTTTTTCTTTCGCTACTCTAAAAAATAGAAACTTGACACGAATACAATTTGAATAGGAATACAACGATTGGTGTTTGTCTATCAAGAAAATTTCCTACTTTTGAAAACAATCATAAAATAAAACAATTATACTGCATTAAAAAATGTTTGGAGTAGACTTAGATGCACAAAGCCGATATTATTTGGTTAATCTGCTGTCACGTACTATGAACTACCAGATTTAGTTGCTGCATTAGTGTAAAATTCATCCTAATTATCACTTTACCAGTAAATAATAAATTTAGATAACAGATCATAAAACCTATATATCATTTATCAATAAAATAACTAAACACACTACATACCTTTCTGCGGCACGCAACACTTCAGGCCCCGATGTAGCCAAAGTAATCGACCAATCTACGCATTTCGCAAAGCCCTCTTTTAGCAACAGTTCAGCAATATTCCCTTTAGGATGAATTACCGATCCAACAAAATTTTGATTTGAAATACTTTCCAAAACGATCTCAACTTCTCTTTGAAGTAAACGACATTCCACAAAATAACGGGCCTCTTCAGCAAATTCTTCAGCACGACCATCTGTTCCAGACCGCATTGCTGGTGCCTGTTACATTAGACACTACATAATTATTGAATGAATATCAATTGGCGTTAGCAACATTTGACAAAAATTTAGATTCCCAATAGTAGCGATTGAAATATAAATGCAATAACTTGACAAATTTGACCCACAAAGACGATCAGATTCGAGAGATTATTTTAGAGGAATACAGAACTAAACCTCATTACAAACTTACTAGCTTCTTATTATTTGGAAATAATTAATTAATGCAAAAGATCTCACAGATGTGAAATTTATTGAAAAAAAAAGAGTACAAAAGAGAAATTCATAGTCATATTCATTAACTTCTGACTACATGCCTCGTTCAAGTGAAGTTAACTGACTTTAATTCCAGAAATCATGAGCGTAATATAGTAGAAATCAGGCAACAGAAAGGCACGGATCGTTGAACCATCTCGCACTTGCTCAATAATAGCTTTTATTCTCCGTTGCTTGAATAAATCGACTAATGCTCGCTGATTTTCTACAGTCCATTTCACATGTCGCACCTGATACAGAAAAAATTCTTTGAAAATGTCTAACAAAGTAATTCCTATTCCTAATTGGGTTAAGAAGAGTATTAGATTTACATTAGACTAAAACCACGTAAAATGTGACGGAATCCAAAATAAGACACGTGAAAAAAGATAGCTGGCATAAGTAATTTACCAGATACTGACCAAATCACAAAACATATATTAAAAAAATAATTTCATTTCCTACATGTTGGTGAGAATTTCCTTCCTCTGCTGCCCACTTTCCTTTCTTTGCAGCTTCTGCATGTGATTGCAACGTTAATAAACTATTTGTGTAAGTACTGAAAAATCCTGGGTAACAATATACTCAAATTCGATAAACAATAGTGAGATCTTAGCTACATCAAACAAGTAAAATTATTAACTTTGATGACTAAAAAAAATTGTTGTAAAAGGAATTTAAATTAGCCATTAATTACAAAAAATAAAACTGACTCAGTGAACCGTCCTGGCCTTACTTCAACCCAGCCTTCAGATACACAAGTCTCTACTATATTTTCTGCATTTTCAAGATCTGCAAAAGAAACAATGTTTTGCAGAAATACTGGACTTAGATTTTAAAAAAATAGCTTCTTATATTTCTGTTCAATATGAGCACACTATGAAATTTATTACTCAAAGAAATTGATAAGTTAGAGAACAAAACAAATCATCTCTTGCAATCCTGAAGGAAAACTTACTTGTCCCACCAAGATATATCCGGCCATGTTCACGTCCTGAAGTAGTTGTGTAATCACATCGAAATACGACGTTTTGCCCGACGAGCTTTTTACGCAGAAACTCTCGCGATTCCCATGCAAATGGCTGAATTACATAAGATTTCATCGAAATAATTGAGCTATTACCATTTCTTCAAATCTATACATCACATTTGGAATGCATAATCTTTCCTTATTAAAGACTTTGGATTTCGGATTCAAAGTGTGCAATGTATACGATAGAAATTGACTTTCTAATTCATAAAAAAAACTAAACATAGTAAATGCCGATAATAAACGACAACTAATCAACAAAGTAAAATTAACGAACTATAGTAGCAAATTTAAATCCTTAAAATCTTTGACTGACCTCATCTTCTTTTCCCGGTTCACTGTCTGTTGGTCTTTTACCCAATCGAGGTGCGACTACATTACTCAAGTATACTGTCATTTCTTTTGGAGGCCCATTAATTGGTGGTCCCTACAAATTACTCATCAGACGATATTGGCCTTGTTATTCATATGCTGAAACATGCTTCTTACTACAAGCATGCTCATGGATCTCGCTTTGTTATATTTTATAAAACATTCGTAACCAATAAAAATGAAAAAAAAGTCATAAATTACTCTGCATTTTAATGTATATTAGGAAAATAAGTTTACATGAGAAACAACTCAGTTACCTTACATACTGATGCAAGTCGATTGATTAGATTACATTACAAAAATGATAAGTAGAACTTGAAAAGCAGCGAAGATGAAAAAAAGGAAAAATAGAAACCTGTAGAACTACAGCATCACCACAAAGCACTTGCTTTACCACACCTCGTTTTAGCGTAGCTGCTTGTTGTGAATGGGCTTGTTGCTCCGACATTTTAGCGATTTGTAAATCTAAATGTATTTTAAATCGGAAACCACGCAAAAATTGTTGTGGTTTCGCTAAAATGATCAAACTGACAGCCACATTTGTACTATTCAACTGATTTCTTCATCTGCATGAATTAACCATTCCCTTTTCCAACTCAATACAATGAAGTATTTTAAGTAATGGATATTGGACAACTCATGAAGAACAATGAATGATATTTTTCAAAACTGTACAGTACCTCTCAAATTTTTCGTCAAAAAGTACTAATCTATTATCAACTCACCTCATTTCTGCTTTTCTTATGCATATTTCTTCCCCTACCATTCCTCTAACTACCTCATTTCGCTCATTTACCACAATAAATAACCAGCAACACCCAAATTACATTGTTGAGATTCGCAAACTGCAAAATACACTTCCAACCACACCAGAGACAACAGAACATTGACAAAAAGCCCGTTCTCATGTTTTCTTCACCAGATTTTGTTGCATGTGCTACAGCACAAAATTTTTTCATCATTCTGTTTGCATGGCTATTCATAATCGCTTGTAATCGTAGCATGAGTAGTAAAGGTGCGTTTGAATGTGTTAGAAAATTCCATTAAGTAGAAAAACTTGCATTTTAATCCAACAGAAGTAGTCTTGAAAATTATGCGTGAAATATACAGCTACCGCTGATCAGTTTTCTCAAGAGCAGAATTCGTGTTTTAATAATTAAGGCGGCAATAATACAGTTGCATTGCATGATATGTATCTGAATCTTCCTTTACAAGGAAGTAAAATATGCTTTATCATGTTGTCAAACAATATTCCTTTATTCTAATTCAAAGAGCATAGAGTACTGAGAAAAAAACAAAAACAAAATCAAAAATACTAAAATCATATGTGACAAGCACTTGTGTCTCCGCCTGATATGGCAATAGCTTCGATTGCTTTGACAACATCTTCATCTAGATTATTTCTTGCTGCCAACAGTTGTAAAAGATCAAAGTCTTTAAAACCAGCTAGAAACGCGTTAACTTTTGCTGCCAACATTGAAGTTACCACATCTTCATCACTCAGATTTAACTAGAATAAAAGTTTTAACAACTACCAAACAATGATAAGATCGTCAAATTAATTTCAATATACGATGTTACAGAATGTATTTTGCAATATTTTCACCATTTTGCACTTTCTGTCTTGTTTGTGGAAGTGGAAGGAATAAACAATTCAGATCAATAAAAACGAAATTCATCTATACTCAATGAACAAAAATAAGGTAGGAGTGTTACGGCCACTATCACGTATTACTAGTAATACATGTTATAAAATTTAACGATTTACAAACAATTATATGGTTTTCTATCATTACATTTAATTCCTAGCAACTCGTTAACGATAACTCGTCAACATACACCTGATCCACAAACCAGAGCCATTTTTATCAGTACGCTTTTCATTAATTTTCCACATATGATTTAAATAAACAGTAAAGTGCAGATTTAAAAGTTATGAAAAAACATGCTAACTTTATTCAAAATTTCTTTATTGCGACGTAGCCAGTATTTTTGGTGATAGTCTTCTGCTTGAAAAAATTGATCCAGTTCCTGCACATAAGTATCCAGCTTTATATTCCCATATTTTTCCTATACAATAGAAATTAAAATTAGTACTACTGTACAGATTCATCAAAGATACTAGGGCATGGAAAACCCGTCTAATACTAACAAATAAGCTTTTAACTGAAACCCCACAAATATGAACGAATTATCTGCTTTAAATTGTAAATTCTCTTTTTAATGTTTAATAAAGCAACTTAAATTTTAGAACAAAATTCACCTGCATTTTTTTTAGACTATCTTCAGCCACTTTTTTTTGTTCAGCATTTACATAAAGAATTGCTGATTTGTACTGCTTCTTATACTCTTTCGTTGGATCACAGTGATCCCAAAACCAATCAACAAGAGCACTGTAACTAGTCACTTCCTCATCAAACACCACCTCCGTTATTTCTAAAACATGAAAAAATTTTCGTTGCTTTTGAAAGTGAGATCATTTCTACACATATATTATAGCTGGCAACGTCACATAAATTTTCGAAACATTTGCAACTAAACCAGAAAAAATAAAATGGAATTTTTAAGCCACTACAAATTATTGGTAAGTTGCACATATGGAAGTTGCTTTATTTTCACCATACGCATCTTTCCAGCTTATAACTTTAAATTTTAATATATGAAATATTCCATACCGTAATGTAAGAAACACTGCTCCTTGTTGAAAAAAGATCTCAACTTGAAAGTGTTTACCTCCCAAACACATGTGAATTTTACAACGCTTAATCGATTGCACAGTTCACATTCTTGAAAAGTACTCAAGAGTATAAGTCAAATTTACAAAAACCTTGAAAAATTATAGAAACGTACCAGTATGATCACCAATATTACGATAATTTGGTGCTGGCGTACTACCACCTCCATAACCAACTCGTGTCTTCAATACACCACTCAGCATTGCAAATGTTGATTCAGCACCCCAAAAGCATTGCAATCCAAAATATGCTTTTTGGATGTTGACCATCGCTTTCCAAAATGAATAAATAAATGTTGCTGATACAAATTTGTATGCTTTCTAGCTATTTGGTAACAAATTACCGAGTACTGACTAAAAAAAGACTTCGAGAACGTCAGATTCTTACTCATCAACTTCAAAAAGACTTTAATCTTCGTAGTTTCGTCAAATAGGAACATTACAAGTAGTTTGTCAAATAGGTACATTTTATTAACATTTCAAACTTTATACCATATGCCACTTCGTAACTTACAAGCAATGTTTGATGATATATCAAGTCATTAAGCACGAGCAGATATCCTCTTCCTGAGAAAATGACAAGAAATATCAGATGATCTTAAACCTCAAAAGAAAGGCACAATTCGTGAGATATAGCTAAGCATGCTGTGCATATTATGCACATCTTGTCAACAATTTTTTGAGCATCAAATTATTCATGGCTTGTAATCTCATATTAGGTATAATTACAAATTCCTTAATTAACACTTCTAAATTCTTCATTTGCAGATGATATTTGTACCGGTTAGTTTAGTAATGATGCTTCCGAACTGTCTACCACTACTTTACCAATACATTATTACGGTAAATCAATTAATAACGTTGTAATCAACAAATGCTTTAGATATACAAATTTGAATTGATTCTAAACTTCCTTTAACTAGTCTTAACAACTCTTTTTTCGGCACCAAAACAAGTTACAGTATTAGTGGTATACTTATAACATAGACTCCATAATTTTGTGACTTACAATAGTGATTCATCTATAGCACAATAAATAAAGTATGAAATGAATAAATACGATTTTATTTCAAGTTACTCTAGCAAACACGGGTTTGACGGAATTTTTAAACTGAGAAATTATGATGCAGAATGGTTTATAATCAGCAATTAAAACTGTGACTTATAACGAAGCGTATATGAAAAAGTGTTAAGAACGGAAACTTTCTAAAAATTCTAGTTCAAGAGGATGCAGATCGCCTGGAATGATCAATGAATGCAAGGGGGGTCCCATGTCTATATGGCGCATTTCTTGCATAGAGCAAAAAACAATCTGAAAATTTCACAATATTTAAGTGATATTACAGATCTTTTTCATTTTGATTCATTAAATCTGATACAAATAGTGGCTATATCGAAATTGCTTGAGTAAAGAAACAACTAGGAGTACTTCGACTGTGAAATCTTCAAGATTTCTCATGGGAGGAAAAAACTGATATCAGTGCTAAAAAATACGACTATTTCTCTTCTAGTTGATTTTTAATTTACAAATTGAAGGAAAGTAAAATAAAAATTAACCTTTTGGTTATCCCAACCTATTCGAGCCAAGCCGACACATAATGTTGTTTTTGTCAGAACTGAAAAAACTTTTGTTTAATAAAAAGATAAGAATGAAATTAGCTGAAAAATAAAGAACAAATCCCCATAACCACTGAAAGCCTCACTGAACATGCAGAAAAAAATGAGGTAGAATGAATTGAAAAAACATTAAGTATCTTTTAAAACTTGAAGTAAAATTGTAAAGTTCAAGCCTCTGTTTATATTCTGTAGGTAAAGTTTTGAAATATAAAATATATCTTGATACAGCAAGACCTAAGAAAATCTTTGAACATACAAAAAATAGTTCATAGCCACATTAAATGTCATTCACATATTTATATTTTATTTGCTTGACATTCAAATCATAACTTCAATATGCTACTTTTTTTATTCTAATGAGTCTCTGATTTCAAATTCATAGTTGGATGCTAACTTGGTTCAAAACCTGCTTGCTTCTGCTCTTCTGCAATTTCCAGCAACTGACTGACAGCCTGAGCACATGTCATATATCTCGGCTTCAGGAATTCATTCCGTCCTCTGTAAGACTTACAGCAGTAAAATAAATTCATAAATTTTTAAGACAAATACACCAATGCGTAAATATCATTAATCCTGAAATTACTGAAAAAAGAAAAACGTAATATTTTCCAAAAACAATTCAAAGAAATGAATCCAGCTGGAATGAATAAAACGAACTTCATCAAATTTTCGATAGACTGCTCTTTTGTTTTGATATCTGAAACTTACTATTTTCGCAAGCATAGATACAAATCATATCAGGACGAAATATAGAACGATGTCTTATTTCAAAAAAGGCAGAAAAACTGATGCATTGATAGTTTAAGAGAATATCAAACTGATTTAGAACAAAAGCATTAAATATATTACCACCGTAACAATAAAAATGCATTGCTACGCAAATCATTAACAAAGATATTGATCTGCTTTGAAGTAAATAAATAACTAGTTCACCTAACAAACATAATGTATGTAATCCTCTTTTTTTGTTTTCCTTGATTTTGTGGTAGTACGAATCAGGTTTCCAATTTTCTTCCCAAAAAACAACCGAAATTATTTCTCCGAATCTGTATAACTAAAACAAGCTAGTAAACAAAACGAGTACTTGAAAAGCAAGGAAATGCATGAATCTTGCTAGGAAAACATAGCTATTTGTAATTAAAAACATGAAACCCGTTCTCTAACATGAAAAAGAATACCGAAACCATTAAGATAATCGTAATTATTGACAGAACACTCAAAAACTTTGCAAACATCACATCCTCAGGCACATTTTCTGATACAAATAGTAGTACCTGTAGACCACAACATCCAACGGCATTAATTATTGATGCATTATGAATGATTTCAACAGGAATTTTTGCTTTTCGAGCACTTAAAACCAAGTTTATATGTGTTGTAGCGCCAAAAGGATCACCTACTACTAGAATACACACATCTGCAACTCTTGCTTCTTCCAATATTTGATCTAAAATTTGAAAATAAGAATGGAGCAGCATGAAACTGTAGATGCAGCATACGATTTTCAAAAAGTATCGTGGAAAGCCTGAAACTTGCACTCATATTTTCATATTTTGAATCCCTTTTAATTTGCTTTTTAAGCATAGTCCACCGAAAGTATACTACACTACAAATGCTTTGCAAAAGGACACTTTTACTACCAATATTTCATAGTCCTGGTTAATTGACTACTTCATACGTATTAGAGCAAAGTGATGCAAAACTAGTCCCTGTGGAGCACAAACAAATTTGACGATGGAATAACGCTTACCAAAATTAGTCTCAATCATTATGCGATCAGCTTCCTTAATTTTTTTATCAAAAAAAGTTTCTAACGATTCTATACGCAAACCGAAAGACATCACACTCGTATAGGTCTCTAAATATACACTACTACATTTGTCTACTACTGCTTTCCCTCGCATCGTTATATCATCAACATTACCCAGACCCAAACCAATTAAGAACAACATGCCTGAAACGATATAATTATAAAGCATAAAAACACTTCATGTTTGAAGTCTTCACGACCAAATGCAATAAATATGTGATTAAGACTAATTTATGTCTCGTTTCCATTAATATTGATAAGTTTGGGGAATAGTAACAAATATAAGTGGCAACAGCAGTCATTAAGAACATATATGAAGTTGTTAGTCCAGAATAAAACAAAATATGAGCCGAGTTAGATCAGAAATTTTACTTCGTAACAAATAAATATTACTAATCGCTGGATGTGTCAAATTACAAGATACAGCTGTACGAATACATCTTACTAACAACACATTGGATGTCAATTAAATTGACTAGAGGACAACAAAACCAAAAACCGTTACATGATGAAAATTAATAAATATTATGTTTTTACTACAAATCTTGATCAAAGTTTCTAAAAAATTATCAAAATTCATCCTGAGATTTGCGACAAATTTAAAGTAAGGGAGAGGAAAAACATATCATAGCTAACAAAATAAAATGTTAAAACGAGTTTTTTGCAGTAGCGATAAACGTAACATGAATAGTTATTAGAGCTATTAAATAACATAACTAAATTCGAATTTTAATTTCTAAACTGAACTGAAATTCATTATGTAGATAAATATTTCGTTTCAAGCAATATATTATGAAAATTCCTCTATGCTCATATATTTTTCAAAACATTTTGCTCAAATATATGGTTGGAAAGATTAATTATCTACATAAATATACCAAAGTATATGAGCATAATTTCGACAAATAAATCATAAATGGGACAATCCATATTAATGACATTTCGAACATTCAATAAGAATTGAAGTTATTTAGAACATTACACTGAACAGGAAATGCATTCACTAGAAAAATACTTAATAGTAACAAGAGAAATGTTAGATACAGCCTTAAGAAATTATAATTTTTGGTCCTAAAAGAAACATTTTAAATTCATTATTTATCAAGCACTTAATATTTAGTTACATGCATCTTAATTACTACGTGGAAAGATACAAAAAAGTATTTTCTTCCAAAAATTGGCGAAAAAAATGAACAAATTTGAATATTTAAATTCATTTTCCGTACATGTCATATTCCTTAAATTAAAGAAATATGAATTGAGTCATACAATTAGCTTTTGACTGCGAAAACAGTGACAAATGAAAACAAAACCATTCCATTTCAGTGCTTCTGTTCAGAAACAATTTTCTATTTGTTCACTAATTTTTGAAAATAAATATGCTGTTGAATCAAATATATAATAATTAGCGTATTGACTGCAAGAAACAATAATGATGTAAACCACATATAAAAAAAAGTGTCAACGCCATGAAATTCAAATAGATATGCTGCTATCAGCCACAAACTCTGTGCCATTAACCATAACAATATCAAAAATATTACATTTTTCGTTGAAATCTGTAAAAAAAATACCGATGTACTGCAATCGATTCGGATGAAGAGAAAATTTTATTTCAAGTCTAGAAAGTTAATTATTAAAAATTTTTTATTATAGAAATAAAGTAATAAAATATGAACTCCAAAGTTCACATGGAAACGTACTTTTACACTACGCTGAGCAATCGGTAGTAAGCAAATATACCAAATAAAATATTGACTTGTACACACTTTATTAAATGAAACAAATACTAAAGTAGTAAGTAGCCAACAAAATGGAAGATCTTCGTGAAACCTGCAATTCCTTTTAAGTTTCATCGAATACATAAGGTCTAAAATAAATTTATATGTAGGAACAATGATTCGAAAATGTCCGACTCTTTCTGTCATAAACTGGGATAAAGAAGCGCATTTCGGAATTCAATATTACTTTAGAACGGAAACCTCGATCATTTTATCAGTACTTGCTAAATAAATTATTTTTCAGCAACATTTAATGACATACACAATAGTGCACACCCCAAAAATACCATAGTAATGATAGTTTGGCAAAAAAGTACAAACCTGAAAGCAAGCCATAAAATAAGTGATGCTTGAGGTATAAAAGCACAGAAACCGATGAAACGCAATAACTGCGTATCATTCGCTGTTAAATAGAGTACATAAAAATATGGTGAAAAGTTATGCCGTGTATCGGTGCGATACAAGTGATAAAGTAGAGCTTCATTCAGGTAAGACATACCATACAATTTATAACAAAATGCTACTGATGACATCAAACTAAGTACAAGTATCTGAAATGTAGAGAATATGATGTCAAATTCTTACGTCTCTCTTTCTAGACCTAGAATATTACAATTAAATGGTTTCTGACGTACCAATACGAAAACATATCCTTTCATGTTCAGAATTATCCGTTTACAATACTCCATCCATGTAGCAGATGATGAAACATCGGACAGTGCAAGAAATATAGATGGCAAATAAATTATTGGATATAATTTCAAGTGCACAGCTAGCCATCCATATACTAAAGCTGCCAAGCACCACTAAAAATATTTCATTTTCTTGTAGCATATTAATATCAGTAATAATATTAGAAATAAGTCTTCATTAATTTGTAAATTTCCAAACCTACTTAGTAATGACAGTGGCTTACATAACTCTTCTTTACTAAAAATAAATTTCTAGCAATTAATTTCGCTAAAAATTAAAAAAAATTACCAAATTATTAATGGAGACTTATCTCTTATATAATGGCGGAATTTTCTTTCAGTTTTTTAGATGTCTGGCAAAATCAAACACAAGCTGATAAGAAAACTGTAATAAACTATAAAAATTAAACTAAATATAACATACTTTACTGTTAAAGTTCGCTTTCACCAGAAAATTCACAGTATTGATTTTTACATCAAAATTAGAGTTTTGAGTTATAATGAGAAAAATTAGAGCAGCTTGCTTGTATACTCGTTAATGGATTACTTTATTTCTGATCAGCAGATATAAGGTCCATAAAACGGTGGAGCAAACAAGCACATCAGCATTCCCTCTTGATGAAATGATAGCAGTGAATGGATTCACAAGCCAAAATATCACTACACTTTTTTTTAGCTTAGATTCATCTATTCTCTATAAAGCAATAAAACTCGTTATGAAAGATTACAATGAAAAAATGACCAGCTTATATGTCACTTTCATTATTACTGTTAAATAACTAACAAGTACTTACTGAATCTTGTTCTTGAATCAGCAAAATTTCTGTGGGGAAAAATGAGAAATGTTGCATATAAATAAAATCTTTTAGCAATGAAATGAGCATTATGAGAAATAATCTATAAATTTAATAGTTTTTTGTAATGATCGATTAGATAACAAATTTGTTTCTAAACCGATTGAAAACGATGAATGAATGAACATTAAACATTGAAAACACCATTCGGAAAAGTTATTGACTACTACATAATGAACTCACAAAGCCTAACAGTAAGATAAAAAGGTTAAATTTGACGATATTCTATTTCTAGTGGTACATCTGACTAATTTTATAATCTGATAAAAACCAATTAACCTTGTCAATTACTTGCTGAGAGTAAGGCAATTCAAAATAAAAAAAGCCAACTGCAATATCCACAGTACAAAATAAAATCTTTCCTACAAAATTACAATAGAATTGGAATGCATAAAACTATATATATACAAATATTGGACATCAGTTTTTTTTCTCCTTTTATTTGTTTCATTTTTTTTCATATCATACATACTACAATTAAGTCTTACTTTCACCAATTTTTACATTGAATTATTCAGTTTTGTACTGATCTGCAGGAAATTTACCAAAATCAGGCCATTTGACTACCGGTAACAATAGCCAAGCTAAAAATGGAGTATAGCGATAAGTTGCCCGTTGATATGGTGACTGTCCATAATATACATAATTTGCTGCATCCGAATAAACTTTGTAATCAGTATCAGTAAAAGGGACCTTCAAAAAAGTATATTCTATTACAATATTCGTATGAAACAAATAATTAAATCAGATTGACATAATTAGTCAAATGTGCTTACCAACAGGTAATTTACCTATAAAAAGTTTCTAAAATCCTAACCTCAAATAAGTAATCATGTATACGTGCATAAAATACCAATACAATACGACACAGAAATGCGAGTAATAATATTTGCTTTCGTTCCCATACTTCATGAGGCTTCTGGACAATTTTCACGTTCGGATTAACAGATGTTTTTAATTTGATTGCCTCCATTTGAATTAGCTACCGATGATCATTATGCATGATGCTGTTTGCACTTCTGAAAACATCTCCGGAGTGAAACTTCTTTAGCCTAATATCCAAACACAAGCCTGCACAACCTATCACCAAACCAGTTCAAAATAACTTTTTTAAGAAAGTTATAATTATCGTAAACATGAAATCGTTTCAAGACCATATGTAATTCATTTAATTATGAGTGTGGAAGAATAAAGTAACCGAATGATATGTACATCATTCCTTGTGGATTTAAACATTTACAAAAATTAATATTCGCAGAACTAAATTCATGATATCTCAATACATTTTTTTTTCGAAAACTAAGTCTTAAACTTTGCTTGCAATCAAAACTTTCAATACACCTGTACTAAAAATAGCTATACTGCCAGCGTATTATCATTCTTCTGCAATTTGAATTGAAGAATTTTCATTGGAGTTTGTCTGAACTGCTAATATCAACTTTTCGTCAAAGTTTTGTGAACGGTTAATGTTCAGAAAGCAATTGAAGCATGTACTCTCATGCACCATTCCAAAATGGAACAAATAACTTGTAATTTGTAACTTTACGGTAAATTTTCACTTGCTTTACATTACGTTAAAATGAACAGAAAAACTTTTTTATATAATCAGTGATTGCAGTATTTTTTTACAGTAACACAGTTACCATTACTTTTAATTGTTGAATAGAAGATCAGCGCAGTACGTCTTTGTTATGATAGCAAAATGGATTAACAAATTTATAATTACGATGATTAATTTTTAGACAAATTTAACCATCTGTTTGGCTGTGTAATTCTTAAAAGTCTAAGTAAAATGTAATGATTGCGATACCTCTTTACTTTTCATAATTTAACGTTAAAAACGGAATTTTTAATAATTTCCGTAATTTGAAAGTAATCTTTTTTTTTTTTGACTTTCTGTTTCATTACGTTCTGGCTGTTCCTCTGCTCATGTAAAGATTAACCTATTGAATTTGGCTGATTATGTGTAAATATTACGATATTTACACTGCAGTTAATTGGTGTGTAAATCATTTAACATTGGTTTATTTGATAATTTTTCCATTCAGTTTCGAGTAAGTATTTAAATATTTGATGAATTATTACTGAAAGTACACTTGTGATAAATTGCAAATCTTTTTTTGATATTTTCTTTAAAATGAATTTGTTTTATCAGAAAGTAAGTGGTGACTACTGATGATACAAAAATTGTCTTATCTTTTCGCAAAACAATATTATTATATTTTTTGTTATGTCTTTTTATATTCATGTTTTTTTTTCCAACACTTAATTTATTAAGTCAGAATTCGAACATTTTTATGAGATTATAAAATGCAAAAAAAGGCAGTAAGATCAGCAGTTGCGAGGCATAGTATTTTTGCAAATAAACACGTGAAGATTCTGTGTAAATGATTCATTATTCTTCAATTTATATACATTAATTTTTTATTTCATTTACATGTTAATTGAAAGATAACTTCGCATCATTTCACACTTCGGTACTAGACTTCCTATCTCTCTTCTAGCAACCTTCCAAATTAATCAAGTCTTGCGTAGTGATTTCAGGTACATTCTCGTCTTAATTTGCTCTCTCGATTCCATCCATATTATCATGACCAGTATCAACTGCATTGTACATTTCAAGTAAACCACCATCGTCTTTACTTGTCATATCTGGTTCAATGAGTAAATTTTTCTCTCTTAGTTTCGTACGAAGTTCTTCCAGAAAAGTTTTTGGCACTGTTATAGTATTAGTTGAAAACGGATTGTTCTGAAATATTCTCAACCAGTTTAATTTACATATTGTGCTATAATTCAGAATGAGTACTTATTTACGAACAAATTATATTTTTATTCAATCCTTTGAAAACATCAAGGATTTAATTAAATAATTCATGTATGTAAATTTAAGAAGTTGATAGTTATTTATAATTAGCAGCAAAGAGTTTCAAAGCTCAGGATTATATATGATTGCTTATGTCTTGCAATATATACACTAATCGTAACTTCTACAGAAATTCTTACCTCTCAGATTTTTTAAGCCTGCTTTATAGCATGCGATACATAATTAGAAACTAAATGTTTCTGAAAATTGCATAAAGTTGTACTACGTTAAATTGTGATATTTTTCCCTAACTACTTTAACAATCCAAAAAATTTCATTACTTTTACCGTTGTTTGCGCTTCCGTTCGTGATATAGCTACTGCAAGCAAAATAACGATGATATCCATCACAAAAACAGCTTTTCTTATCATTTTATCAGAACTTTGAATAAATCCTAAAAATTGCCGCTTTAATCTTGCTGTGAAGCACAAATTCACAACAGATGAACTACATACAAGTTGATGTAAACCAACAACTTTGTTTTATCACTAGTCACATTTTTCAATAAATCAGATCCAGATTATCTCAATCATTAACTGCAACCATAACAAGTGATGAACACAAATTATTTTACTTCCCTGTGGTAATATATTATGAATAAGATCACCATAAATTATTATTGCTTATTTGCTTTCTAATTTTTGAGGCATAATCATAATAAAGATTATAATCTCTGAAATGGCTCTGAAAAAAAATTTCAGGGATTTGCTTGAGAATAAAATGTATTTTAAAAGATATTAAATGTTAAAGAACATATTACTTATTGATGTACTCAAAGAAGTGAAAATTACTGATAGTTTTTGTGAGTACTGATTTTTTTTAATTTTAATTTCCATACTACTTTTAAAATATTTTAATTATTAGGAGTAAGCTAGATTTACTATTTGTAGTAACTGATAGATGATACGTTTGATGTGAGCAAGTATTAGTATAATAAATTTTCAGACATACAAATCGTAATGATGTAGACAAAAATTTGCTCAAGACTAATAAACTGAGTATGAGAGCTAGAAACAAACAATTGATATTGTATACAGTATTTGCTAGGATAACAAATCAGTAAGCAGTCATTTTTAGTAGAGAAATAGTAAATGTAAAAGAATGCTCAAAAAAAATATCAAATTAATAGGTAATATAATATGGTAATGATTACAGTTATAACTTAGTATTCCATTTTTCAGTGTCAAAAATGCATCAAAAAAATTGATCACAGCAAAATTCAAGAATCAGTATTACGTTTATGGATGGCATTGCCATTTTCACATCATACGAGCAATCAAAATTACAAGATTGGTCAAAAGTCAAACGAAAAGCTATGTTTGTCGACAATTACTCATTCATAAACTAAATACACTAAAATTGTAGTTTGCAATAAAAGTTAGGTTTGTAAGATAACACATAAGCATATTTCTTCTGATTACTGCGTTGTATTTGTGATGCACAAAGAAACTGTAATAAAAAAATTTTTTTCACTTCTGCTCACCCATACATGCATTCCCTTATTTCTTTGATCAGTGATAATCTTTAAAAAATGATTTGTAATGATATAATATTGTGAAGAGACAATATTGTGCTCCAAAAGTTGACAGTTGTGAAAATAAAATTCAAATTGTTAATGATAATGACTTCATTACAGTAGTTTGTATTATAAGTAGCAAAGTATGGAAACTAAAATTGTATAAAATTGTCAACAGATTATGAAAGCATTAAAATTCATTAATAGAAAATATCAAAACATGTACTAAAAAAGATTTAATAAGTGATATGTTGCTCAATGAATGATATATTTGGTGATAATTCAAAAGAAATGTGTAGATCAAAAAATGAATAATTTTAATCAGTCCAATCCCTAATAGTCGACGTGTCACTTTCAGCACTGAACGTTATATCAACTCCTCGAACAAATAGTACTTTCTTCAGTTTATGAGACAATTCATTCAAAAAATTTAAATATTTCCAAAAACGTTCTAAATTTTTTGGCGGTTCTGGCATATTCATTAAGACCAAAGCAGCTTCTGAACTACGCTGCCATATTTCTCTGTTCAGTTGTTGAGCTCTTATCTAAAAAAAAAAAAATTCTGATATTCTATTTTTTCAAATAAGTGAATTGTGAAATTTAATCACACCTACTAAAAGGCTTTTAATATTTGAAATATATTTAAAGTTGACAACTGTGCTGTGCTTTCAGATTCGTTTTAAACTATCAAAAATAACCTTTAGCTCGCGTGGTCTCAAGCTACGTTCACCTTCTTCTAAGTTTGAGTTCATTTGAGATTTCCGAAATCCATTGTCTACAGCATTTTGTATCGGCTTACCATCAGGACTTAAAATTTCATTTTTTCATATATTTGATATTTTTGTATTTTTCTATATTATCATTACTTGGATAAAATTTCAAATCTTATCTAAAAATATCAGACAAAATCTATTATTTTTAATTAGCGATTAGGTGATGGATGAAATTCGGAACTTAATTGCAATTAGCTTAGAACTTTTCTAAATTAAGTAGTATTCAATATTGAAGCTCACTTATAAACTGATAAAATTTTTTAAGAAAGCTTAAACGTTACATTTGATTACTGTGTCAGTGCATCTATTCCTTTGTACTTTACAATGCTACTGTTAATTTTTGAGCTTTTCACTCGTAACAAATTATTAATTGCATTTAATTGTAAAATTAATAATGCTAGTAGATGAACTTTATATTCGTTTCAAAAACCATTTAAATTCCAAAGTAAATTTTTATCACAAAGTTGCTTCAAACTTTTCCATCATGTAGCACTTGCAATAAAACTAAACTCATTGACTCTCTAACTTTTGACAAACAGTATTATAATCTATTACACTCCAGCCATTTGTTGCAAATATGTAAACCAAGACTTTCTTTGTGCTGTATAATATCGCTGCTTTATTTGTGTCGACCTTAGCTGTATGAACTCGGTTATTATCCACGACTACAAACAATTTTAAGTTTTTTAATTAAGTTAATAATTTATTAACCGAGAAAATTAGGAGTAATTTAAACAGCAAAATGCAAAAACAAGTAGTTTTGTCATTGCATATTGTATTTGTTTCTTAAATTTTTGTTATTTTTAAAAGTAACTATGCGTATTTTTAGATTTCATGCTAAGTCTGAAGCGTATTTCACGCAAATAAAGAACTTAAATTTGATGCAAATGTAATATAAAATTATTTTGAATGGTTTGAACAGTGTGCTTTCTGTAAACTACAGTCGCTCTCGAAATTCTTCAAACACTTTATTGTTTAAGTTAAAAGTTGGAAGTAATCTGAAATATACTAGACTTTTAAACAAAAATCTAACATCAGCTCTGATGAATTCGATTTTGTCAAGCAAGTAGTGATTATCAGTAAGCCACAAATAAAGTTCTCTTTCAATTTGCTCAATATCATCTTTCAAATCCACCACCACAAATAGACGTAACTTTGCTTGAAGCCACATTTTGTGCTTTCTTAGCATTTTTGCAACCATTAACAAGACATCACCATTATCGATGATCCACCAAATATCGATAGTTTGATTCGATTGTAATGCCTAACAAAATCTTATCTTTATGCTTAGTTATTAGTTCCAAAAAAAAATGCATCTTAAGAAAATTTACAAAACCACAAATTTTAATTTAATAATTATTTAACTCTTGAAATGCTTTCAAAAATATAGCTATTTAAAAATTTAGAAAAAACTTAGTAATAAGCAAAAAATACCTCTATCTTCAGAGGAAAAAAACCCTTGACAACAACTAAATTACAGTGCTGAACGCAAACACGGTGAACGTGATAATGATACAGAAGGGAATCTGGTCGACCTTTCAAAGCTGCTCTGGAACATTGAACAAATTGAAAATTGTTCGAATTTTTCAAGTATTTTCTTGAAATTAATTTAATTCACAAAAAAGTAGACTAACTCGGCCGGATATTCAATTATGACTGTATTCGACTTAAAAACTCCTAAACCACAGCAGCTTACTAAAGCAGATGCTATTGAATGTAATGAGCTAATCTGCAAAAAGTTTAAAAAATGATTCAATTTATTGTTAAAATCAGTAAGCAATATAATACAAATAGTACCTACTGAAGAATTCTGTAGAACGGCCGATTAGTTTTTATTAAAGTAAATTTTCAGCGAATATCACTTTTGATTATTAAAGTAAAGAAATAAGTCAATATACAACAAAAACGCTTCAATCTTTTTAAAGTAAACATATAATTATTTATTTGCAAGTTAATTTATTTTTCTTCCGTAATTATTATATCAGTATGAAATTGTCATTTTGAACATATTTTAGTGAAAAGAAGCCTCATTTAATTACCTTCTGATATTTGAACTGTGTTGCATATCCAGAAAGTTTAATATAATTCATGCACTGGCGTGCTGTGTATACATCATCATAACCAGTATTTTCATGATCACCCACATCACGTATCAATGATATACAAAGAGCACTACGGTCTATACCGTAGTTAAGAAAAATTTTGTTAAAAAATATTATTCTATTCAAAATTAATAAAAGATGATTAAGATTAAACTTTAACATTTGCTTACTACAGCATGAAAATTAGAAAATTCATCACGTTTGCATTTGAAGAATTAAAAAATATATCCACAGAAATTGCTAATTTTTATTCTTAATTTAATAAATAAGTAAACTTCCGAAGGTATAATAAACGACTTTTTATGAAAAATAAATAAATTTTCGGTCCAATTTCTTAGTTTCAAAGCAAAACGAAGCACTGACTTTGTGATAAAATTTTTGCCATTTGAAGTAAATTGTCAGAAGCCGCAGGGAATCGCATGAAAACAATGCATCGAGGCTTTGAACGAAAAGTTTCAATTAATCTTAAAATAGGACTGTAAAATGAGATGAAAACTTTTCCAAATGCTTTAGTTAAAAGTAAAATAAAATGATACAGTACAGCTCAAAACAAAATTCTGATTTTTAGTTTAGACTTCTATGAATTCTAACTGTACACCAAATTTAAACCAATAGTTTTAGACAATTGTTTTAATATTCACATATATGAGGTTTTAAGGATAAAATAAGCAGACATATCATTTACGTTTAAAAATGAAGAAAGTAGTAGCCATCATTCTCATATAATTTTCATATAATAATTATTAAAACGAAAATAGACGAAAACATTTAGAATAATTTGTAAGAGTGTTAAACACTACTGAGTGATAAAAACTTTTATCTTACCTAACAGCACTTTTTTGCGTTGATGAATAAAGCAACATATTAGCGATATCAATGACAACGCTATGTTGCATCCACGGATGAAGAGATTTTGAACGCATGGCAATTGCAGAGTAAATGATTGTAACGATGATAGCAACCATCACACCAATTTGTAATTTACATCCAAACAGCAAAAGAGTACAGCTAGCAACACCGAATATGGCAATAAATGAGTGAAACAGACGAAACCCTGGATGGAAACTGAAATTATTAAAAATTATTCACATCCTAATCAATAATTAAAGTAACTGATCAGAAAGATATGATCATTGCTTTTACAGTAAAACATTAAAAAAAATTGCATACTTTGAAGCTTAAAATAATCTGAATAGCTCAATCAATTATAACTGCGTCTTCCTTTGCTCTAATACTTCAAATTTTTAATTATTGTGATGCAAAAAATCAGATGCAAAATAATTTTATTAAAAAACTACCTGTTAATTTACGTTATTAATTACGTTTAATTCATTTATTTCTAGTTTTTTTAGGGAATATTAATAATAATCATAAGTAGCCAAAAAAGTCGAAGTAATCAACGAATGTTAAGTTTGCTTTGATTATCATCACAAAATTTGGTACTTTATTTGAAAGTTAGAAATAAAGTAGATCCAAATTGGCTTGCATTTTTGCAACAATTAAAAATAAAAATTGAAAAAATTATTCCTGAGTAGCAAGCATATATTTCAAAAACCTTTTTACAATGCATTAAATCAGTATTAGAGCTAGATTCGTTTACTAACTCCAACACTTATTCAATTTTTGTTTCATTAAAATAAAAAAATGCTCAAGTTAGCAAATATACCTGGGAAAATTAAGCGCAGAACAGAAAGTAGTGCTTAAATTGATAACAATTAACGCTGCCAACATGCAGCAACTAGCAATAAGTAACAAGTAATCCACGTTATTTATAAATAAATAAGGAAGAGTTGAGAGTGAAACTATCCCAACTGTGATTAATTTACGTCGTCTACTGTCTCGTCGATGAAAAAAACGCGGGACCGGAATCAAATGACTTGTAATGATATTGAGCAATAAACTTTTCGCTGCTTTAACAGATATAAGTTATCCAGTAATAAACATTGAAAACCATATCATTTAGTAGTAGTAATAGTATAAGTAATTGTAATTACCACAGCAATAATAATAATGATAATGTTGTTGTTGATATCAATATTAACAACAACAATAACAGTAACAGTAGCAATAATGATAGCAACAACAATAATATTTATCATCATTGAATGCATGAAATTATGTACATTTGCAGATGTTTAGTTCCTTTTTTTATTGCACAATACCATAATTTTTTATAAGTGACATATATTTTGAAATAAAAATGCTCAATTTTTTAATGTATATATATATTTTATTAGTTACCCCTCGCTAGTTGATGATAAAAAGATAACACAAAAAGATATATATATATTTATTTACTTATATGTATATATATATACATATACATATACATATTTATTTATTTATTTATTTATTTTATTTAGTAAGGATGATATATGTATAATGATTCCGTTTTTTTTTTCTCATTATTGTTCTCTTTTTGCAGTTTTTATTCGTCAAATGAACTTTTAACAAATAAATAAAGCAAATTTTTATTAACAGATATCAGTTAACAGAAATGAAAAATAAGGATATTAGAAGACAGTATGCAAAGTAATAACTCACTATACATGCTCTGAGTAGCGGCTATTATTGACATTAACACTAATCCACTGACAAATATTACAGGATGCACTGCCTGAAAAGCCTAGTCAGCTCGCACATTTTCATCATTGAAACGTTCAAAGTATTTATAGAAAGTAAACATCACGCAGAAAAAGTAAAATTATTTGCAATCACTTTTTTCTATTTTTAATACTAACTGAAAAGATAATTGGAACAACTGGATATGTCCCAAATCCGAATTTATCCAGTAGAAAATGACGTTCCACTCCAAGAGCCAATAAAACAGATAGCAATGAAATCAGCTGTAAAAAATTATAAAAATTTTTTAATTTATTTTCTGTTCCTCAGTTCAACAATATTACTTTCAACTTAATTGTAGTAAAATTTTGTATTACTTACAAAAAGCATGGTACATAAACTGCACAAGATGCCAATTGGTATATTTTTTGTAGGAGATTTAAGTGTGGATGGTATATTGATACCACACACGCTACCAGTAAATAATGGCAGAAGAAACAGTGCAGAACCGATAATTGAAGTAACTTTTATGTCTGTCTGGAAATAAATTAAATATATTGTGCAGAGAAAAATATGAGATTAGAAAATATTACTGAGTTAATTTTAATCACAAAATGGAAGAAGCATAATTTTATTTGTTAAAAAAAGAAAAAAAAGATAAATATTAATGCACTGTGTCTCAGCTTGCGAGATGCGCTGCTAATTTCAAACAATTTGATGTGAATCTATCTGTTCAAAATTGCATGATTCTTAATTTATCTGCCAAATTATTTGCAAAGGAAAAATTCAAAATAATTCATTTTTAGGATATTCATTATTGTTACATTTTCACTTATTATTGATAATTACTATATGAATAAAAATTTTTCATGCAACAATATTCCTTCATTACTCAATGATAGTAGCAATAAGCCTGGAAACAAATTCTCAAAATTTCAGTATAAATAAAACTAACTTTAAAGAAAACACTTTTGAAAAAATTCAAATCGTAAATAATATCACGCCAGTCAACGTCATATATATTTTTGCTATCACTTATGTGATCATGCAAATTAGATCGAATCATTTTGAAATTCCATTCAAATGCTTGTAATCGAAATTTTACGGATGAGCAGTTCACAGCATCATTTTCAGAACAATTCACATTCTCATTAGGATATCTACGAAAAAGTACATAATTCATTTAAAATTTATAAATTTAGTACCAATTTAGGGTAAAAATTAACCATAAATGGATAGTATGTCTTCAATATGCATCTATATTTTTGCAGATCAAGTAAACTGTCGCAAAATCACTATTATTTGCAAATCTTACTTGCAAAAATGCTTCATCATGGGTAATTGTATTTTTCCTGCACGGACTGACGGTACTTCCATATGTTTGGATGGTAAGTAAAGTAGTACAGGTAACTGATCATAACCATGTTGTCCTGCAATAATTTGTAATCAAATTAAAAGTAAAATAAAAATTATTTGATCATATCTCTATACCAATTTTTTATTTATTATGTTTTAAGCAGATAAATGAGGGAAAATTCATTTACATGTTATTTATATCAAAAGTAAAATTTTATCAAAGCTCATCTTCATTTTAGAATAAGAAGATCAAAAATAGCTTGAGCGATATAATGTAAAGTTAGACCATGATCTTGATATAGACAACGCACGTCAACATGCTTGTCCCTTTTTTTCAAAGCAAAAACTATGATAGTTCCAGCAAGTAAAGTGATAAAAACTACGAAAGGTATCCAGCAGAGCCCTTCAAACAATTTTTCAGTTTAACAGTTTCGAATTTACACTCCCTTAGAATTTTGATGACAGAATTAAAACTTTTATAATTGACTGCGATATGTGACTACAACAAAATGTTAAACAAACACAGTGTTATGCAAATTTTAGAATAAACACGTGCCAAATTTTTACCGCCCTTTCAAAAGAGTTTTTTTTTTTATTTTTTGAAAAAAATATACGTACACCTATAAAAAAATTAAATTTAACACTACTGATCTTAGCTTCTAAAATTATGCGATCAAAAATCTTCCTTCTGTAATTAATGAAAGAAGTGCGTTTCTTCATTTGATAGCAAATCCAGCAATTAAGTAGTACCAAATTAGAAATTTACTACTCATAAATGCTTCTTAATGTCAGTTATATTTCTATTCTCTTAACGAATGTAAACTTACATTTGATAATACCCTTTTCAAAGCAATTCAATATGGTAATAAACGTAAGAAAAGCAATAAATAAGATAAAATGCATAGAATACGATCTGTCACACAGTTCATCAATTGCATCTCGGTTCTAAAAAGAAAATTTTTTGTAAAATTCTACTACAAAACGATGAATTTAGTAATGTAAAGTAACATTTTCAAGTGCAAGCTTAGGCAAATTTGGCTGGATAGAATTGTGTTGTATGACGTAGCGTTGAATGAGATGCGTACACGCCGTCAAATTAAGTCCCGTAAAAGCACAGTTAGCTAAACAAAACATCGCGCAAGCTGTAAAAGCATGAAAATTGCAACTTAACAATAAAAGCTAATTAAATATCAAAAATGATAGAAAAAGTATATGACACAGTTAGTCTATGATTTGATAAAAGTTTAAAATGATATAAAATCCAGTAAAATAATTTTAGAAAAAAAGACAAAAAACCATTGAAAACAAAATCTTTTTTTTTAATTTTTTTATATGAATTACTAGTTATTCTTTCACCATATCATACTTCAAATTAAATTCAAAATGGTATGTCGGAAAATTTTTAGGCTCAATTTCAGAACAGTACAAACAATATACAAAATGTGTTGCATGTATTCGAATGAAAAAAGGTGTTAACTGCTGGCATATTTCATGAATATATGAATTATCTTACCAATTATGGCTACTTGATTACCTAAACTATAGGCAATTGTAGTAAATGGACCCCCGTATAAACGATCGCTTCCATTAGTTACAATTGCGAATACCGCAAAGAACGATAAAAGAACCTAAACAAAATACTTAAAAAAGTGCTTATTTTGCAATAAAAGATATATTGCATGAATTTTTCATAATGCAGCTCATAAAATTTAGAGCAAGCAATTTTTCAACCGAAAAATTACAAGTAGAAAGTATCATTATTGAAAAAATTTTCCTAAAATCATCAAAATTTAAGTAAGGTACCGTTCCAAAAACAAGCGAAACAACAACTCCCATAAAACGGAGGCTTAAAATACCAACAATCCATGGTAATCGCAAGAATATTAAGTTTAACAGGGAAATGTTTTGTAGGTAACTGACATAAACACCAGAGAAAATACCCACTGATCCACAATCGTATAATGGATTATCATCCTACAAAATAAATTATTATTTGAGGGCATTAATTTTTCAGTATTATAACACAATGAGTGCTGAATATTTTTGTTTGTTACAAGATTTTTAATAATTTGAATAAATTTTGAAACACAAAAATTGTTCCAAATACTTGAATGAAAGCAGCATTGGCAATATTTTGAATGTTATGCCATGGTTCCGAAACGATTCTTCGAAATAATGATGGACGTGGATTAGCATCGACTTCACAATTTACATCTTCAAAAAATCAATTAGCTTTCTAACTGCACAAAATCTGAATTTGAAATTGTTGTAATAATTGACTTTTCAGGGAAGCAATTTACAAAATATAAAATAAAACTGTTTGTTTAGTCGAGTATTACTCTGCTTGCAAATAACAATAGTGACGAGTACTTAGTATTAGACAATTGTCTATAATAGTTAAATACCATCATTTTATTTAAAGCAACAGAATATAACTCAACAACAGCACAAATTAAAATGACTCATTTTTGAAACAAAGTCACAATGAATAAAAAATGTTTGGTTTTTAACAAGTATAATAATTCATTTTTTATTACGCTGATGAATTGAAAAGTTTGGTGGATGAGATAAATTAACCTTTATTAAACTATTATCTACAAAAAAATTAGTATTCTATTACTGAATAATTGAATAATTGAAATTAATCATCAGTAGTAGACTTATGCGAAATTAGAAACAGCGAATATTTAAAATGCGCAATATGACTGTTAATTGTGCAGTACAATGAACTTATTTACAATTATGATCTTACAGTTTATTTAAAATTGCAAAAGAAATGAAAGAGTAAATGAATAATTAGTTACTTTACATTCCTATTAAGTAATGCTTCTCTCAGTGATGTAGCACTTAAATTTTACTTTTTTAATGTACTGCATAATTATTAGGAATTTGATTACATAATCATTGCATATAAGCAAGTAGCATATGTATACAGTATATAAATACATAATTTCGCAGTTTACGCAATATTTTAAAAACATTAAACTACTCGGATTCTAAAATATGATATGTCCTAAAAATATGTTGTAAGAATTGCTTAAAGAATAATGAAACTTCATCAAACGTACGTTCATTATTTTCCGAAACATTTTCTTCCGATTGCTTGTCTTTATGAACATTGTCTAGAAGTACGTCTTTCTTTTCTACCAAATCATTGGACTCAATTCCTTTATCAGTTTTACATTTATCCTTCTCAACTGACACACTATTCACATTATGCACTGTATCCACTTCTAACGATTCCATCTTACACAGACAGCTGTTCTGTTATATCAGTTCTTTTTACAATGAATGACTCCTTTCAAATGACTCAGTGATAATGATTTTTACTTCATTTTGCTCATCAAATAACAAATATGCAAATTTAATTGCAACTTTTTGTCGATAATAAAAATTTTAAGCAAAAATTATTTATGAGATTTGAGCACTTACCTTCGCCACGTAGTATACGATGAAAGGAATAGTATCTGACAGTGAAAATTAAAATGAAAAAATAACAAAGCGATAACTGCTCGATATTTGAACAGTTACGACTACAGTAGAAGAAGGCAGAAGCAAGATCGATTATGTTACGAAGAAAATCAACCTCCAAAATTGCCAGTTTCTGACGAAGATAACGTTACGAAGAAAATTCTACGCATCGATTACGTTACGTTGAAAATCAAATTGTGTGCAATATCATAGAACGCCTGATCACTTAAGCCTGCCTAGAAGTTTAGCTCTTGCAAAGTATGAAGCGAGAAAGCTGAACTATTCAATTCCAATAAAAATACAAATGAAGTTATGAAGTGTCAGAAGCAAACAATTCGGTAGATTCCTTTGCAATTAATTATTCAGTTAAGCACAGAAACGCAATACATCTAACGGCAGCACTAAAATGCAAAAGCATATAACGATCTCACCACAATTCGATTATTACTGCACGACTGACCTCTGCAGTTATTCAAATACAAGCAACGAATATTACGATTCAGAGGTACCAATTGATATATTCCACGACTTTTTATCTGAAATAAAGCATCAGCGATTTGTAGTGACAAAACAATTCGAGAAATTCAAATTCTTTTATTAATAAACTGCAAAACGCAGCAAGGACCTGCATTCATGACCTGCAAATATGCGATTTTTGATGTTGGTATAAAATCATGCAAGGTGCAGTACAAAATAGAATATGTTATAGTCTTGACTCACTTTGTCCTCTGACAATGGCCTCTGATCAGCACAATTGATGCTAGCAGCACAATGATATTAGCATGCGTACGTTCATGCATACATTCAGTCTCGTCATCTATGAGATCTTCATTGGGCTAATGAATACCATTTAGTCAACTAAGAATCCTACCAGACACTGATAGCGTGCCAATAATTATGTAAACTCACTGAACCAAACGGAAGTACAAGCTCCTAACTCAAAATATTTTCACTGAACATGAGAAATTATTCTATAAAAAACATTGTAATCCCTGCAATGTCATTGGATGTTGAATACTCTCTCACCAGACATTTTTCTGTCAAAACAAATTCATGCTATAATAGTAGGATTCTAAATCAAAATACAGGAAACGTTGAGATTACAAATCTGTTACAGTCATATTACTTTTTCACTGTGGAATATTGATGACAGTGGAAAGGTTTCTTGATGTGGTAGGACTAGAAGTAAATTCAGCAAAGTCAGCCACTAATACCGAGGTATGCGCTGATAAAGCAGCGCTATTGGAAGGAACTCAAGGCTATAAATATCTTGGAATAGTAGAAGACAGGACTACTGCATCTAGATGTGAAAGCTACCATAAAGTTTGAACAGAGATTTTAGTGAAAATTGAGCGATTAGCCGAAACTGCACAAAATGGCAAGAACTCTATCAAGGCTGTGAATGAATACGCCATAAGTTTAATAAATTATTACGTCAGAGTGCTCAAGCTGGATTCGAAAGGCTTGAAAGCTATAGACCACAATATTAGAGAGCTATAATCAAATACGAAATTCACAAGCAACGTGCATGCTTGGAAAGACTGCACCTGCCAAAGGACGAGCTAGGACATGGACTTTATAATGTTAAGCAGAAGAGTGAGCTTATGCTTCTCCAGCTACATAATGTTCTTGTAGATACCGCACCCATTTGTACCAGAAGGGCAGCGATTCTGAGGCAGGAGAAAGCTCATAACACGTTCTTGACAATTATTGTGCCCTATCTAAAGACTACGTACAACCTCGCAGAAAATGCTGCCATTGAAAACGTATTAATAGCCCAGAAGGCGTTCTTGTATAGCGAAAGTAGAAAAGAAAACCTACCATGCAAAGCTATACAAGATGCGGACGAATTAAATCTCGTCCATAGTTGATTCATCAATGTGGCTACGATACGGAAACATTACCCCGCAAGATGAAGGACGATACTGTAACCTCCAAGATAGAAATATGTTTGGAGGTGAGAAATAAATGTGCCAACATTGTGAGAAACGTGTAAAGACGATGGGTCATCTAGCAACGCAGTGCAAAAAACGTTATATAACGACTGTACTAGAAGACACAGTGAGGTCCTACGATGCACCCAACTGGGACTCTGCAAGAAGTATGGTCTGAAAGTATTCCCGCGCTTGCGAAGCTATTCTAGGAGGTCATCACAAATGAGGATGTTGAGATCAGAGGCAATACGCAAGTGAGAACTTCAATCAGAATAAAAGCGGATCGACTGGATATTATGATGTGTGATAAGAAGCGACGTGCAGTAATCCTGATTGAGGTTGGCATCACTGGTCAGGATAGTCGAGATCGAGAAGAAGAGAAAATATGATCTACTTGCTAATGAGCTTGGGTCACAGATGAAATGCAGGACTAAAATAATTCCGTATGTGATGACTTGGGATG